AATTTTGAGCTGTTGAAGGATGGGGATCAAGATCCAGACTAACAATTTGTTTTTATATTTAGATTTACTATGCTTATTGTTTCAGGAATCAGAAGTAAAAAAGTTCAGGAGGCAGAAAGATGTTGTACATGAAGTGGCTTAGATAAGAAAATCAAACAAACAAATAAAGGATGCTAGTTTGTATACCTATAATCAAATTAAATTTATGGTTGTTTCTGAGACAAAATATCACTGCATGGAGTATCAGCTGCGTGGAATTATATATGTCTTAAGAGCTCTACAATATATCCATGCTTATCACAAGAAGAATATCAAATACTTTAGTATTTCTTATACAGAAGAGCAATAAAAATATTTATCATTTTTCCCTTTCCCTCTTGCAGCTGAACCCATTTAGGTAAGCCACCAATAAGCCTGATTTGTTTACCAGTGGATTTTGCATTAACAGTTATGTGTTATTTGATAATGTTATGTGGAAAATGAAATAACTGAAATATTAACATTCAAAAGGCTTGTGTGAATCTATTCTGAAGTGAATCCTTTAAGAAAGAATTAGAATTATTTGCAGAATTGGTTTACTAGAAGCTGAAAAAGAGGATGTAGAATAAAAGCATTTTATGTGGAAATAGTGTATTTCTAACCAAAGTGTTAAACTGATAAGTGACATAAACTTATTAAAACCTAGAATTAAAAATCCCATTCTGTTGCCACTGAAAAGTTAATCACAGTGTGAAGCTAATCCTGAATATCAGGATTTTCCTACCAATAAGCTCCACGGTATATAATGTAGGCCCTAAAGTAGCACATCTATGCTTTACATGCTGAAACTTGAGCCCATATGAGTCATCTTAAGTTAAAAAAAAAAAAGAAAGAAAATGAAAAAGAACCACAATAATCAACATTTAAGTTAATATACGAGCATGAAAGGATGTATATAATCATCTACTTAGTGGAAGCTGCTTGTGCAGTAATTCTCAATAAGTACTGGATCTTTGGGTCTCCTGTAAAGCAGAATTGCTTAAATAGAGAAAAAAACTGTTTTCTGCAGCCATCAGAAAAATAAACTAAAAAAGCCAACAGACCTAGCTATATTTCATTAGGATTGTTTCAGTAGCTTTGCAAGATAAGTTCAGTTGATGGAAGCTTTTAACACCACAAATACTCTCCTGCAACAACAAAGAAATTCAGAATACCACTTATATAAAAAGATTGGGCAAACATTTTCTGAATTCTTTCAATGGTGTAACATTGGATAAAACTTCTCATTGTTAAAGCATATGAGCATAGCCTTAATGAGTCAGTGTGCTTCTACAGACACACAGAATTTCCAGCAGGGCAACTCTTTGGTGATCTTCTTCCCATCCATTAGTCTCAGCAAATCTGCATCAAAACATAACCCCCAGTAAATATCTCCACACTAAAAAAAAAATCAACACTATACATGTCCCCAAAATGAAACTATTTTAAGGAATTTTTAAATATGGTTTCTCAGTGTATGGACAATTAATTGTTCCAGCCAAAAATCCTCTCTCAGTAAAAATAAAAATACCTTCCAAGAAAATCAGTAGATTTTCTACTTGTTTTATATAAGACTGGGTTAGGACCTCAGAATATCAGTTTCAGGTGGTAGGAATTTAGAAAATGTGTTATAAATTGGATAATTAGTTTTTTTCAATTAGCTGTTTTGATGAGGAAGCATGCATAGTCAAAATAGGCATCTGAGAGCAGAAGAAGAAAGTTTTTGGAAGTTATAATGTCATATTGAGCTGGACTGCTGCCTGGAATGTGCTCAAAGATTAGCCTAAAAGCTCAAAGTGTAAATAGCATTGAAGAAAATTGTTTTCCTGTAAGAAAATTATGTTTTCCTCTCTTTACACTGTTGCCACGTATGTACTTGAAAACTCAAAGGGTGGTTCAAGGTATAGTGTTATTTCAAAACAATCACAGAGGAAATAAAATTGATGTTTCTCTCTCAGGTTCATCTTTGAAGCTTGCCTTTTAATGGCTTTTCAAGGTCTGAGTTTTTTCTGATTTCTTTGTTTTTTATGCTTTGTTATAAAATATGACTTAATTTTCTTAATTTAATTCTGAGATGCATGGCATTTGTTTTCTTTCTTGTCCTCACACATTCTTCTCTAAGGTACAGATTGCAGACTTTCCCTTCAACTATTATGAAAGATAGCAGTAAATGGGTAGGAATACAAGAAGTCCTTTGGGTATGCCTAGGTTCAATCTAACATTTTTTGGGGCATGCCAGCTTCTGGAAAATGGCAGGGAATATTAAATTCCCAGGAAGTCAGAAGCAATCAAACATATAAAAATTACCTAACTGTGATCAAAGAAATAAGCAAGAATTGCTGGGATTAAGATGACGTTATTTATCTAAAAAACCAATATGCTTTCTCTAGTATATGCATAATACTGTTTTCACCTCTTAAAAAACAAAACAAAACTAAACTAAACAAAAACAAAACAATAAAACAACCCCAAACCCCAACAGATTTTGGGGTGGTTGAAGTTCCCTTCACAAAGCAACGGAACTTGTCTGGTTCTTTCTTGTTTGTTTGTTTTCTTGTTTGTTTTCTGTTTTGTTTTGTTTTTATTTTATTTTTTAAAGTTTGTTTTGTATTTGTGCAAATTGACATAAAGATTTTATTAGCTCTTCCTTAAACATTATCTGTAGACAAGGAGTATGCATTCTTGAACTGTTAAATCGCCAGACTTCAGAGGTCACCTTTCATACATGAAAAGGTAATAATAATAAAAATCAAAGGAATATGAGATCAGATAGTTTTGTTTAGTGATCCTGATTACATCTTTGAAATTTTTCCCATTTTCAACTCCCAAGTAAGGATTATAAAAATGCTTCTCACCACACTATCATGAATTTAAAATCTACAGTGAAATATCCATAGCATATCACTCTAAGGCACCAACACAACAGAAAGCATTTCTAATGTCCTAGGTCTCTGCAATAAGAAGAATGCTTTTAGGTGTCAATAAACATATTTTGCATCTTACAAAGACAAAAAAAGGCTAAAATTCTTATTTTATTACAGCCTTATACAGTTGTAAAACTCCCAGTATGTTCCATTTCTGATTGTCTTTCCAACTCCATTTCACAACGACACTTTTACATGCCTGCTGAGGTTTTGGTCCCCTCCTGCTCTTTTCATTTTTTCTCTCTTCCTTCTTTATTCCATTTTAGTTTTTTTTCTCCATTTAAAGGTTAGCATTAAAGAAACATCAAGAAAATGCTCAGAGCAAAAAGTGTGCACTTGTCAGAATCCTACAAGCCAGTAAATCAATAAGGAGGAGAGACACGGAAAGCAAAAATTATTCTGCACGATCTTTGGAGAAAACCAATATACAAATGCAATGTGTATTTTGCAAAGAATGTCAGGAACAGTTAATTTATGTCCTGGATAATGCAAAGGAAAAATTAGAAATATGGTACAAACTGAATTTAATTTTCAATGCCAAGAAATTGTTTGTTTCCATTTACACTTCTATTTAGTATCAACCCAATATATTAACTACACTAATAGCCTGAAAACATCTGCTTTATCCCTGAGGAATGAAGACTCCAGAGGCCTCTGCTGCAACAGCTGTTTGGTGCATTTGGCTGTCCCTACAATGACTTGCATTGCAAAGTTCTTTTCTTGGACAGCAGAAAAAGCAAACAGGAAAGCATAAGCCAAGTATATTTTTTGAAATTTTGCTGTTCCAATATCAGCAATCAGTTTGTGGATCTTTTTTTAGAGGGCTGCTTCTCTAATCATTATGTTCTCATTTTCTCTGCCACTCTCCAATAATAATGGAAAATAAATATTTCAATCCTGTTGCAGTAAATCTTGAAAACTAATTGTGGTTGCTTGGTTGCTTGGGTTTTTTATTGAATCCAAACCATCTATCACATAGGAGCAGTGAGACAGCAGAAGACCAACAAATTTTCTGCTGGTTGCATTAATAAAAACTTGGTGAACAATTAGGAATTTCAAATTACAAATCTGCTCTGAAGAAATAGCAAGGATGAAACTACTGTTTCTGACAAATACATACAAATTATAATATTCTAATATAGTTTACTTTTTCTTTGGTAATGCAGACCAACACAAAGGTAAGGGAGATCTTTACCTCCTTTCAGGGAAATTCCTCTTCCAGAAATACTTGACATTTTAGGAGATTAATTCTTAGTTTCTGAATGTGTTTTCCCTTTGAAAACATTCCAGTGATTTCAGATGTGTAGGTAGTAACTATGCAGATTTTACTGTTTGTGAGTGGCTTGGTACTAAGATAACACAGGCCAGCTCTTCTCTGGATTTATCTTGGCCTGAGAGAAGAAGTTATGTCTCGTTTAAACATAAAGAATTACATAACCATCAGGTAACTTTTATCTGATTTGTTTCAGATCTGTTTATTTTTATGTAATCATATGGTGTAACTCTATATATCTGTATTTGTATTTTTGCATTTTTTGAAAGAGTTATTTGCTGTAGAATGAACCTATGATCTTAAAATAAAATCCAGAGTATAATAATGTCATAAAATGAGAAGAGGCCTTGAAAATATTGTTCTGGGATTCTGCCACTGGAATAGGATGCTACAAGGTGCAAACAACTTACTAGTGCTTAGCTTCTGATCACTGAATGGATGCAATATTGCATCCTGGTTAAAATGAGCTTTAGAATAAAGAAGTATTCAATCTATGCAGAACAAAGCATATAAAATATAATCAGAGTTGTAGACCAGTGAACAAAATTAATGAGTAAAAAATTCTCACAGATATATAAAATGTCCTCAAGCAAATATTTTGGTCACAGGCCAAACATTTTTTCCCAGCGACCCACAAAATGAGAACTGACCAACTCAGGTGGATGTAGAGTTTTTATATGAAACGTTGTAGTTTAAAACTAGCTGGGAATTAAATTCCAAATAAACTGTTCTCTCTTTGCTGTCTCCCTTTCTGGTGAGAGAGGGACAAAGGCAGAGACTATGGCTTGAGATAAAAATTTACTGAAAACAAACAATGGGATGAGAAATGAACAGTAACAACAATATTAATAACAAAAGTATACAAAAGAGAGGGTGATTTACACACAGACAAGGTACTCACCACCTTGACTGGGTTCCACATGGCCACTGAGACAAAGAAAATTGAAGGATGATATTTCAGGATCTACAAGTTGTTTCCAGCTCAAGAGCTAAACAACTACAGGAATCATTTGACCTCTTTTGGCCTTGATTTCATGCATCTTTCTCTGTATTTCCTGAAATTTGTGATATCAAAATAGCTATTTCCACAAGGAGCTAACTTGGAAACCTTTAGCTGTTAGCAGGAAAATATGAAGCAATAATAATAATTCAAGAGTGACAGGAACTACCACCAAAAAAAAAACCATGGAGTTTTTAAAAAGAAGTCCAAATGTACATGAAGGTAAAATGACTTAGATAAGTCCTTATACCACTCTCAGTTTGGGGACAGTAGATGAAGCTTTGGGAGTCATTATCAGTGACTTAGTGTCCACAGTGAGATGAAGGAAAGGTATTAGGAGGAGTTCTTTGCTTTGGAAGGTGTACGGTGTCTAAGCCTTTCCCATAAGGAAAGATGCCTCTCTTATTTTGAAGTCCTGGAGAGTCCAGCCTGCCTTGAATTTCTGTGATGTCTGAGGTAGTGGCAACACAGGATGGGAAGGAAGTTGAATAACTTACTCCAGGTTTTTGGGTGTCTGAGGTTGAGTGAGATGTACCACAGGGGATGTGAGGGCTTATAGAAGCTGTCTAGGATGTTTTTACATTCAATGGTGGAAAAGCAGAGCATGACTTTTGTGATAACAAGACACAGAAAGAACCTGGATGATGTATTACTTTAGACACTAATCTTTGAGAATTCTTATAAAATAATTGTAAAGTAATTGTACTAAGACTTTGAAGTCATAAGTGATCTGAGTAAATTGTCATTTGCAACCAATGAAATGACGTTCATCAGATAACAATGAAAGGTGGGCATATTGAATTAGGCTGTTGAAAGTCTAGAAGGAGATATTTAAAGATACCTTATTTTATCACCTTTTTCATATATCTTGGACACCTTATCTTGGTTTGCCAAAGTGTTTGCACATTTTCAAAAAATAATAAATTAGAAACTAGATTTTTTGTCCTATGAAAACATTTAATAGTAATATTGGGTCTATTTTTGCCATACTGTTTAAATGAATGGGTGAATTTCAGAAACAATGGTCAGAGTCTGACAAACAGTATGAGCTGTCAAGTAATTAAACAGTGGGGTAGTCCATTATTGATTTAGTTTCATAGTCAACACTTTATATTACCTATTGTATTGTACAGGTATTGTTCATATTTGATTTTTTTTTTCTTTTTCTGGAATGAATGTTATTGCAATTTCATAGTTATTTTAGCAGTTAGTCTATCCTTGTCCTGTTTAATTGCCTACTGGATTAGTGCCCAGTATAAGAGCAGATTTTTATTTTTTTTGATTACTATTTTTAGAGTGGATGATTTTTATTTTTGTCAATACATTTTACCAATTTTCTATTTTTCTTTCTTCAGGGTCATCCAATTTTTGTTTATCTCTCAAGGGTCCCCACTATTATTAATGCAGGATATTTTTTGACATTTTTAAGTCCAATTTACTGAATCAGTACATAAAAACATTCCTTTGCCAGCTCCCAAGCTACTAAAATTTGTCGAAGATGTCCTTTTTAAAGTCTTTTCAGAGGAATTTCTAATGACAGAGACTGATTTACTTACAACAGTGTCAGAAGCAATGCTTCGTATATAATTTTTTTATTTATATATGCATATATTCCTATGGATAAGTCTGTATCCTTTTAGGCTTAATGTAATAGCTTTTGTTGTATCCATTTGGTCAGATATATGTACGCCGACTTTATTGTCTCTCTATAAATCAAATCTATTTCACTCACCATATGTGGACCATTACTTAAATTATAAACTTTAATATTATGAAAGCATTATGTAAATAATAATTAAATGGGGAATTAAGATCCTTTGATATCCTGTTTCAGTTTCTGCTATTTGAGAGTTTTTTGAAGCACTGATGTTTTCTAATTATATTTATTAAGTTTTGCTCTTAGTGCTATATATCTAACTGCCTTTGCTGGCAAACTTCTTGTTGAGTGCTATGCATATTTCTGACAAATGTTATTATCTGTTTGCTGCAGGTAAGGTGTTTCATACTGATACAAGCAATTTCTCTGTATGCATGTTTTATCCTTCTCTAGATATCAGAGTTAAATGTTACTGTTCCTTGAACTCCATGTATGATACAGAAGGCTGATATGAGATCATGCATGTAGAATTTGTCTTTTCCCAAACAAATACAACAGCAAGAAAATTATTATTTTAAAATATGTCATTTTTTAAATGAACATTAATTCTCTCACTTTTTCTTTATAAGACACAGGTTTATCAGTTTTTCTGGTAGAAAAATTTTATGGGCTTTACTAATAGCTACTAGTTTTTTCATATAAATTCTATTTTTTTTTTTTTTTTTGTAATCTGGATCAAGGGGAAATATCTTCTTTTCCAGAGTGAAAAATCACATAAACTCCTCAACTTCTACTCCTTAGAGAGCATATATTAGATCTGACTTTCAAGCTTAAATTGTGCACTGTCTTTTCAAACAAGTGTTACCCTCATCTGACAGGGTGACCCCCTATAATTAAGAATGATTGTTAAAATAACCAGATTTCCAATGCAGATTTTGAAAGCAAAGCTAGGTGTGTAATGAAAATACCTGTTAGAAAAAATGAAGTAGGAAAATCATGTGAATTGAAGACTAAGACTACCCACAGCACAATTTCTTCCCAGTGTTACGATAATAAAAAACCTGCATCAGGACATATGAAGTCAAAATCAAACAGAAACTTTTTATTTTGGCTTAATTGATAAAAAAAAATATAATTTTCTACTCACAGCAATGAGTAGAAGAAGCTGCAATAAGCTATTAAGTGATTTGTATATTTTTTTTTAGGTTTAGACATCTGAATGCTAATTATTATTAGTATTACATATGCAAAGCGTTTTTTTCCCTTTTTTTTAATACAGTAAAACAAAACTCACAATACTCTGTGAGTTTTGTCTGAATCTTTATGAGTCAGACTGAAACAGAAACAATCTTTTGTCTGGTATTTCACCAGTTCTTAAACTCTCTTTTTACCAGGTTACAGAAAAAGACACCTGTAGGAATATCTCTTCAAACTATCCGTACAGAAAAGCAGTCTGTGTGACTATGCTTCCTTTCACTGTAAGGAATCCTCAAGCAAATAAGTCTTCCTTATATTCCCTTGGGCAGGTCATGAACAGCTGAACATTTATTTATCATCTGTCACCCTACCTGCACTCTTCAGTTCAGCCAATAACATCATGAATTCTAGCTACTAATCAAATTTTGAAAGATAAAGATAGTGGAAGATTCTATTGGGAAAACCATGCTACAATTTAATAGATTTCATTATCAGAAACTCTAACTTATAACTTATCCTTTATTAATTTCATGTTACTCTTGATTGTGATCTCTTATATGATTTTTTTTTTGATTTTTACTTCCTTCAAATAACAAGACAATTCTAAAAAATCTTTTTCTACTCATTTTTCAGCAAACTTAAAGAAAGTGTGAAGTTAAAGTGTGAAGTAATTTAAGTAGTTCTTTTCTCACATGTGAAAATTGACAAGGCTGGGTTAGATTGAATACCAGGAAACTAATAAGATGTAGTTCAGTATATATTCCAGCTGGGAATATATTCTTGTTTCAGAGGAAAACATTCCCTTTGGCTGTTATGTGAACATGATCTAAGGATTTTTCAGCTAAAAATCATTTAAGATTCATTGCAGGCCATTATTCTTTTTCACATAAAAATTACTGACAGTGGCCTACATGAGGTTAAATAAACTATGTTAGTGGTATGCACTACTTACAAAAATTATTTGTTGTTAAAATAGCTCACAGTAAAGGCAGAAAATGATAAACATGATGCTTTAGTGTTGAAGGCTATTTTCCCACATAAATGGACAAAATCTCTGGATTGAGAAAGGATCAGACACTGTTATCCTTTTTGTACTAAATACAACCTGAAAGCACAGAGAATTCTCTTAAAGCTACTGGGGCCATCTGTGGACTAAGGATTTGTTTAGGGTATAACCCACATAAATCTATAGACCTAATCCTAAACATGTAGTTTTCACTGTTGTCAACAACTAGTAGTGTATAGTCTTTCTCTCTCCATGAAACAAATCATTAATATGTAAAATATTTTCTCAAATAAAAGCAATTTTTATTTGTCTGTTTGAAAGCCATTGGTGTAAAAGGTTGAAGTCATTAATACAATGTTTTAACTTGTATTAATGACTAAGTAATGAGCTAACAAAGCTTGTTTGTAGCTGCTCATTCACACTGGCATCCTACCATGAGACTGGGAAGAATCTTTTTTCTTTCTTATGAAAACAGGTGCTGCTTCATCTGCCTCTGGTCAGATGGCACCCTGTCCCTTACCCCCCTACCCACCCAATTTTTCAGCTAGGAATATAATGACTAATATTTCTGTTATTACCAGACCTCACACTAGAAATCTCTCCTGATTTTCAAACACCTCCATGTTTTATTTTTAGGTAACAGGAGTTTAAACTGCAGTACATACCTTGGTTTCCTTCAGTGAAGAGCAACTGTAGTAAACATTGCAAAATTTGTTTGTTGGGGCTGGTTTATTTGTTTGCTTCTTCCTTGCATGAGCTTTCCTGAATCTGTAATTCAGTTTCACTTACCTAAAATTTTACTTATAAAAAGAAGGAAAAAACAAAAAGGGAAAATAGAAAGAAATATGTTGCATAATTTGGTTTATCACGATGCCAGATTTTAGGAGATTGAATCAGTTGATTGCAGGATATTATTTCTGTAAGATGAGTACTCATTGAAAGAGAGGTGAGTAAAATACAGGTGGGTTGTTTTTTTCAGACAGACCATTTTGAAAACATTTGATGACCTCAGTTGCAAAGTTGCTGCTGGGTAGTAGTTTCAGTAAAGAATTGTTCTGGGATAGCTATATATTTGCTATGGAGTGGTTGGAAAAAAATACAATGTGAAATGAATTTTGAAATCTTACTAGAGTCTTGCAGAATGATTCAGGATCATTTTCAAAGTGGATTAGCATTTAAAGCATTTTATTATCTTATTATCTAATGTCATACATAAAGTTTTATAACCATCAGTTTAGCATTTTAAAGATTCTTAATATTGTTATAATAAAACTGACTACTGCAGATAATTTTATATTCCATAATAAAAAAATAAATCTGTGCTGGTAAATCAGTCATCCTTTAAACTCTTAATAAAAGGAAAAAATGCCTGTATTTGGACAGCATTTTGTTTTAAGTGCAGTAATATATAATGTGGTCGATTGCAGTATTTAAGTTAAATATTGATTCTCTTTCCTATCTTCTTTGTTAAATTAAGTATTGGTTTACACATTTTTCCAATAGCTTCATTAAAACTAAAATGGCAGCAAATACTTGCCGATGTCGTAACGTGCTTTAAATTTTCTCACAGGAAAAGACATTTGTTTTAGTTTTATCATCCTAAGAACAATAAATAGATGATCTTGTAAGCACTTTTGACAATGGTATTAGAATATCTAGGGTCTACTTTTTCACAGAATTATATTTATATAATGAAGCATTATACAAACATGCGTGTTTAATTTTGGTTAATGTATGTGTTACACTGCAACAATATATGTTTGTCAGCTTTGGAAACTGTTTAAAGCTTATGGATGACAGAATGTTTACAACATCCATTTATGGCTTCTGCTCCTCCTTTTATACTGGCAAGATCCAGATTTTCAGTATCCAGAGGAGGATCTAGATATCCAAAGAGGCAAGGTTTGCATGTAAACCCTTGGATTACGACAAGGTTTTCCAACTATAACCACCATCCCCTCATGTGGTAACACCCCTGGTGTATTTTATCCTTTCCAGAAGTTTCCACATCCAAAACTTTCCATATTAAATCCCTTGGGCTCTTAGTTCTCCTGTTTAATGTGAGATGACCTCCTTTTTAAAAATCCACAGTTGCATTTGGTTGCTGAGACTTAGGAAAACAAAAGAACAGTTCAAAAAGTGCCTAATCCCCCACAGTTCTGTGGGAAGCATACATGCCTGCAAGCTGCTTAAAGTGAGGTCCCCAGTCTGCAAGGTAGTCATAGCTCTGATCCATGTCTGAGGTGCTTGAACCCAACGAGCTGAGGGATCCTGCCAAGGAGCCAGTCCCCTCAAACGCGTACGTCTGAAGCGAGTCATAGGGAGGAACGCTAGGATCCGTATTTGCTTCTTCCAGCTTTTCTGAAATGAATTGCCTGAAGATTGCGCTGTCTGGGCCAACCTGCAGAGACTGCCTGTAGAGGCTCTGGATTTCAGAGGCCACCTTCTTCCGAGGTTTGTGTGTTCGCATGACAGTGCGTGTCCTCAGTGCTGAAATATCAAAGGCTTCTGTGTCCTCCTCGCCCCCTCCTTCATCGTCATAACTGACAATGTTCTCTCTGAAATCTTCCATCTTCTCTGAAAAGGGAGGCTTCTTGTGCTGCTGCTGCTGCTGCTGCCTTATGGCTACAATTGCCAAAAAGAACACTGACAAAATAAAAAGAAAAGAGAAGGGGCAAGAGCAAAAATTAAGCAGAACTAGATGCTATGAATATGTTTGGAAAGATTTAAAATATCGCTTCTTATCTTAGTATCAAGGCTGTTGAATAGAGAAGCTATCTTAACAAATTTATAGAGCTGTAATTTTTATGCATTTTATGGTTTTGAGATGAGCAATGGGTGTGCTGGAAAATGGCTACAAAGGGACTTATAAAAAAGGCGAATTAAATGGAGCAGTTCTTTTGGTAGATGCAAATTTGAAACTGATAGAAACACAGGTTATGCTTTTTGAAAGTACTTTTTTATCACATAATATGTCAATTTCACATTCAGAATTTAAATTCTTAATCTCTATCCGTCTCTCTGATAAAAGCCCCATCAAGATCAAATAAAAAATGAGACAATGAGCAAGATATACTCCTCACCTGGTTGAATCATTCAGTTCAACAAACTGTGCTGAATGGTGTTCAACTATTTCTGTTGTGCTGATTTTAAAATTTGAAGACTCACTAAATTTTGTGTCATTTTACCATCAAGCCTATGAATCTGATGATCTGATTTCTTTAATATATGAAAAGTTTCTTACATTTTTTGTTAAAGCATTATTTTTTAATCCCACATAATTTCATTTAAACTGAACAATCCCTTTGAATTGGTCTATGACTTTCAAAGAGATTAATTCTTTCAGTTTTAACAATATCTTGCTGCAGATCTACTTAACAAATATTTTGTGGACTGTAGTGCTTTTACTCAGAACATGAAATGATACAACTACGAAGAATTACAGCATTTTTCTTAAGAATACAAGGAACCTGAAGCAGTTCTGTTTTCTACCTATTTACAGCTCAGATTTAAATAAGACAACTCTGGAAGTGCAAGGCAAGCCTAGAAAAAACAAATTCATTGTATATTCCCATGTCTTCACTTGGAAACCAGGGCCTGGATGTAGGGAATATGATGCATCATCCCTGGGGTTTTCCATGAAGTTAAGAAACGGCTGGTGTCTAGAATGGCCAGCCTTGAGTAGTTGGTTTGGTTTTGAGTGCTGTTTGCCAGCTGTGCACAACCCTTTACAGAGGTACTAGAAAAACTCCTGCGCATTTGAACCCTTCTCAATCCCAGTTCTCATATCGAGAAATTCCCAAATGTATTGGAGGGTAAGTTGGTGTCTCCTGAGAGGAAAAAGGAGATGTCCAGCATTTGGAGAAAAGGCTGTCTAGAGATGAAACCTTAATTGGGAAAGAAACTCCCTGTGTCTGTAACTTTCTGGCTGATGTCAGATTCCCTGTTTCTTTTATTATTCATAATTGATCTCAGTTCTACATTTGCCATTCCTAAGGAAGAATAAGTAGAGTACTAGAGTACTACTTCTTTTAATATATTCATACACTAGCAAATTTTCTTGCATAATGCTGTCTTCAGCTTTACCTGTGATCAATACAGGCTTTGGGCTCTGAAATCTTCGTTATTGCACTGCCAGGAGAGTAAAGAGGACCATGACTCAACTACACCTAACTTTTAGGAAATTATGTTAGAATTCAAATTTTACTGAAAACTGGGGAAAAGAAGGGATAAATTATAGTTAAGAAAACAGGAAAGAAATTTAACATTTGCCTTATTTCAATTTTTACCAATGGCCCAGTACTTACAGTCTTTGAGTCAAGGGTCCATCTTTGTTACTTAACCAGCCCTTCTGTAAACGGAAGCAAAGTCATTTTTCTCACTTGTACTTACCTAGGAATATTAATATGCAAGCCAAAGCAGCAACTAAACCCTCTGTGCTGAGACCCAAGGAATACATGAAAGTTCCATAACGGCAGTAGAAGGTGGTAACTTCCGTGTCACAGTCGCAGACAGTGACAGTGAGAGTATTTGTGCTCGTCAGCGGTGGGGTTCCATTATCCTGAATTAAGATTGGCAAGTAGAAAAAAAACTGCTCTTGCCTGCTGAAGCCACTTTTTGCTGTGAAAATTCCAGCTGTGTTATCTAGAAGATAAATTATTATGGTGATATGCATTTATGTGTCTTGTAACCGCAAGAATAATATTTAGTGCTGACCTATTTAAAAGCAATTGTACTCTGCAAAGCTACACATTAGCAAAAGTTAAAAACATAAAAGCAGGCACTGACATTTGGTGCATATTTTGTCAATTGTGAATAAATTGTATTTAGTTTTGATATATGTACTCCAGGGACAATAATAAGATTTGAGCAAGGAGCTCTGGTTTTAATGTTCAGAGCTAAAGAAGTTAACATCTTTTTCAGTACCTAGCACCTGCTCAGACTAATTAATTGGTTCTTAAAATGGTTCCGTGTATCCAGCTGCTACCAAGCCAGAAGTTCACAGATAAAATACAGACAGTTTGTCAATCAAAAAGGTTAAAAAGTGTTTCTAGCAGCACATAGTGAAAACAGGTGGCAAGGGAAAGAAGAAAAAGCAAGAAAAAAGTCCACTAAAATGGTCTTTTATTTATTTCCCTGGCACAAAAACTGGAGCTACCTGGACTTCTACTGCCTAAAATAGCAAAACTATTTAGATGCTTTCACTTTGCTTTGTATTTAAGTATGAGTGTTTAGAAACCTGTTTTGTAAAAAACACAGTAAACAGCTTAAATTCAGGTCCTGCTGCATATCAGTTAGAGTAAGTAACTTAGATTGCTGCAAAACAAAATAGTCCTGTCTACATACATGTATAATGAAAAGAAGAAAAAAGAATCTAGAAGTATTTCCATGTCAGAATTTTTTCTCATGGCAGAGTGAAAGACTGCACGTGTGTATATGTAGTAGGGAAAAACTTGTATTGTAGATGTATTTGCACAATACATCTATACAAACAGTCTCCTGAATTTAACTCCCTAACATGTAAGTTGTTCTAGGTTTCTATCATAGTTCAGAAAGTAACACTGAGATAAAATACTGAAGATCTACAGTCTTTTTTTCTCTTCCTTAGGGCTATCACAATTCAACCAGCCATTTCTGTTGGATGTGGCAGAAAGAGGCAGGATGATATCTTATTGCATCATATTTCAAAAAGTTTTGTTTTCCCCATTAGTAGCCATCAAAAGGAACTGAATGGGTTGTTTTGTGTGAGGGTCTGCTTGGGTTTTGGGCAGAAAGAGGAAAGGTGGGAAAGGCTCATGGCTTGTGCACAATTTGACCTTAATATAATGACTTATCTCTTCCTGGAAGGGAGTGAGAGATGAAGATGGGAACTGAAATTCTTATTGATACTTTGACTAACTTTGAAGATAATTGAGAAGTCGTTTGCCATTTAATGTATTTGGAGCTCCCCAAAACTCGTTTCCATTGATTTGTTCCCTTGGCCAGAGCATTCAAATAATTACCATGGTCAATAAGAACGATGTGTACTTTAGCTTAGTCCAACAAAGCTTTATTTTGTAGTCTCAGCAGACTCACATTCCATTCCTAGTTGTCTGTGTTTATAATGTTGGTCTTGCTGAATTAATGAAATAATCTTCTTATATCAATATTCTCTTTCTAATGGTCTATTTCTCAGGCAAATAATTTTAACAAGAAAGTTGGAAATGACCACCATATTCAGCATTAAGAAAATAATTTTTAAGAAATACCAGTGTATTTTTCATCTCAGCGGTTTTGTCTTTCCCTGAAATAAAACTGCCTTTTGTTGTTTACATTAGTCACTTGAAAAGGAAAATACACTCTTTGATACTATTAGGTTATTGTTTTGAAGTGGACCTCAGAACATATTTAATTTTTATGACAAAAATTTGTATTTAAATGGAAAATTTTAAGAAATTAAGAACCTGTTGGAAGCATGCACCTTCCATAGGAGGGTCTTAAAAAGCCGCATGACTGACACTACCTTGATTGTCTTTGACAGTAAAATGTGAGCTGTTTGAGTCCTCCTGAGCCAATGAGAAATAAAAATGGTGACCTTCTGCTGAGTCATCTTGATCCACTGCACTGATGCTTTGAATTAACTGGAAAAATAAGAGAACAAAGTTGTTTAAGAGTAAAAGATTTTTCTTGTCCTTTAAAGCAATAGAAAGGATATAGCAGGTATGTTAAAATTAAACTATTGATGTTGAGGATATGATCCACGAATCTGTATTTAGTGCATAATATGCAAATATTCACCAAACACCCAAATAGGCTTATTGAGACATATTCTGCAAGTACTCTGCATTAGGTTTTCATCCATTTGAGACAGGTAGGCATTAAAACCTTGAGAAAATGTAAAATGCTTTCCAGATCTAATGACCAGGAGCAAATAAAGTCTCCATAAATCGTAAAAAATATATGTATAGAATGTTTTGGTCTTTTTTTTTTTTTTTATCCAAGTGAAGAGTATATCATTCTGCATTTGAAGAAATCTTTCTATGCAAAACCCATTCCTTTTGAGTCCACAAACACATGGACATCATTCAACTGGTATATTGTGTCTCCAGTAAGTTACATGCATTGACAAGTTCACATGCTGGATTGTTGATTCTGGATATTATAACAGATTGATTATGGAATTTTTGGGCTGCTTTTTCTCAAGAAAACAAAATAGCCTTCATTTAGAAATCTGTCAGACCAGACAGTCATTGCAAGATAAAATAAAAAATAACAGCGTTCAAAAGAATGTTTTTCATCTCTGTAAATAAACAACCACATAGTAAACATAATTAGCAGTATTTCTTTTAAAAAATCTATATTTGTTCTATTAATCAGTAAATATTTAATTATCAGCATATATTAGTGAACATCCTTGCTGATCAGGAGGAAAGCAAACTGCTGGAAGTTGACCAATTTTCAGAAAAGAGAGGGTCAAATTTGAACTTCAGCTTGATTTTATCAGTTATCTCATGCTCTGTACGTATTTGAACACAAGAACTTGAACCCTCAACTTTTCTCAAAGCACAGATCACCTGAATGATACAATCAGGGCTTTGAGTCAGTGGAAGTGGCTACTTCTGGTCTCCCTCTGTGCCTTTGACAACTCTTTTCTGGTTAGATCCTTTTTTAAAGATCTAGAACTTCATCACACATTCTTTTTCTTTTCAAGCAAGCCAAGTTTGATGAAATCATCACAGGAAAGTGCAAAATGTGGCTTACACACCAAAAGCTTTGTATTCTTAACACTGTTCCCTCTTCATATGTGAAAGTTTTTTTCAAATCTATATTTTCTCTCTATTGAAACATGAGGTTTATAGTTTGAAACTTGAGGTTTATAGTTTGTGTTTGTTGGGGTTTTTTTGGGGTTTTTTTATTGCCATTAATGAGAGGAATAACTTTTCAGTGATGTCATGGTGTACAAGGGAGAGGGATTCTCGAGGGATTTTTTTTTTCTTTCCTCAGAACTAACAAAATAGCTGAGGTGATGCAAATACAGGCAGAAAAATGCAGGTCAAGAAATCAGTGAGGATAAACTGACAGCTAACATTTCCTTGACTACCACAGGCGTCATTTTTATAAGAAAATGTAATTCCCAGAATATGCTCAACACAAACAGAAATAAGGTACAAAGTTTAATATCCAGTCTAAACTGCAAAGAAGGACACATTTTATAATATTTTGCCATCTACCTCAAAAAAAAATTAAAAGAGACCATACTGGCTTTTCTTGAAAATTTGCGGGCTACATTTCACAGATGAGGATAAGTCTTGGTATGAATGTACACCTGTCCTTAAAATTCAGGGTCTGTTAAGGTATACTAATTATGCAGAATAAAATAATTATCTACAAAGACATCTTGGCCACATTTACTTTGTTTTGTTTTAAACCAAACTGTTTTGGTTTTACTTCAATTACTTGGTAGAGAAAAATTACCTACCTACAAACTTAAAAAATTTATTAATTATTTTCATAAATTGAAAATAAATGAATGATTTTCATTCAACCAGGTATTACCAATATCTTTTGAAAACATATTTTTAAGAATATATAATGTGTGAAGATCATAAAATTAAAGCAGTTGTGCATTAGATACTGTTTTGCTATCTCATTATTGACTTCCAAATTGTACATATGGGATGTATTTAGCTCTGCACATTTAATCTGTATCTGATTCAATCAATAAAATTCTAAGGAGAATGTGGCTAACTGAAAAAAACCCAGTCTAACTTCCCTTGCTTTGATCTGCGCTGTCCCATTCTGCACAAGATTCCTGTGGTTGTTCTAGTTATATAGACACATATAGATACATATATAGATATATGCCTTTAAGGATTCACCTTAGCATCAGGGGAAGATTTGGAATGTAAGCACAGGGCAAATCCTTATTGTTTACTTCTTGCTGTAGCTCTTCTATTAAGATTCAACAAAGCCCACGTTAGTCTACAAAATATGCAGAGAGCAATAAATGCCTCTGATTTTACTGACTGGGAAGGAAAAATCACTCAGAGTGAAATAAATTCCTTCTTTTATTTCCGATTTCCTAGGTTTCTGTACATCTGACCTAGGAGATCCTAGCTTGGTACCAGGGGAACAGGCATCACATTCTCAAAAACTGCAATTACTGCTTGCCTGTTAAGGCTTACGCAACTCCTATATTTTAGCGTATAAATAAAGAAATTATAGTGGATGAATTGCTGCTTTTGCAAGGTTATGTCAGTTGTTGTGTTGACATGGCTGAAATTTATTTGCTTTAAAAATTTTTATTTCAAGTCTCATGAATATAGAAGCTTTAAAGGTCCAGAGGTTCATTTTAAAAATGGATATTTCTTTAAAACAGAGATTAACTCACATGATTCTTTTTGAAAAACTAATTTAAATTTCTGATGGCTTTTGAGAACTTAAAGAATGCAGTGAAATATCTCAGTGCACTAGCAGAGAAGAAAGCTTTCACAGGATAAGCAACCAGAAGCACAGATGGGAAACAGGAAGATGCTCGTTTTAGGCCTAAATGGAGGTGAAGGTTTAAAATCTGAACATTGGACAAAATTCCCCTGTGAAGACTTGTGGTAACTATAAATGGCAACAATAGGGGAATATAAGGCATGGTAAATCAGTTGTGAGTGATCTATCTGAACAAAAATTCCCACCCTGGCAAACTGAAAGAGGAAGAAATTCCTTATACACATGCCAGCCCAGGTTGTCAGAATGTCATCTTGTAAATAAATTATTTTATTTGATTGTATTTATTCATCTTGGAAATAAATACTTGTGGATTATGGAATAGTTGACTGCCAGGTAAGCTTGATAAAACTTAATTGGAAATTTATTTCCTGAACTCCAATTGGTCTTTATTGGAATTATGGAGAGGTCCAAAAGGAAAGGTCAAATCTTCTTTGTTGCAGTCCTTTCTGCTTCTATTGGCTTTCAACCAAGATACATTTAAGGCATAAATTATCTATCTGAACAACAGTACTCCTAATTTTGATGCTAGAGAACTCTGAATGTAGAATTTTGAGTCCTTTATGTGTTAGTCTTACCAATTCCATTCGAGAAATGGAGGGAAGTACAAACATTTACCACCTCTCTCTTTCCACTTCAGTTTCTTTGTTTTGTTTTCCACAAAACATCCTTCGATAGGAGTTCTGCTGTGGATTATAAGTTGAAGGAGACCTAATCACCCATTTTTTAGAGAGTACAGAACTGATTTTGTTTAAATTGGCAGAAGTCTTATAAGCAGTAAGATATTTCTCATTCTTATAAAATTTACTGATCATTAGAGTTCAGAGCAGGTAAAAGATTAAAGTGTTGATAACTAGTAAGCAGTACATATTCCAGGTAGACCTTTTACTTCAAGAGCCAGGTTCTCCTGTTGACTGCTTCTGTTTTGAAAAGCAAATTGGCACAGTATTCAAATGATTTATCTGGGTCTATGTTAAACGTTTCTGCTCAACTATAAATAAAATTGTGTACTTATCTGCAAAGACTTAACAATTACAAAGCCCATGCTGTGACACTGAGGTGCTTTTTTTATGTTTGCTCACATATACTAATAAAATTCTCCCACCTGTGCCATTCTGCTAAGAGAAAATGTCATTGAACCATGGTCCACATAAAACAGAAAAAGGAATTTTCCATGGGTCACTGTGGCTCCTGTTTCAAAACATCACGTGTTACACTCAGTGCATCTGCACGTATAGCTCAGTGTAAGAGTCTGTTTTATTATACATTGCTTTCACAGCTTCATCATGTTTTTACACTCTAAAGGATGCATTCATTGTTGAGGGTTTTTTAAAATTTTTTATTTTCTTATCATTACTGCTCAAACGCTTTTTGTAAATGTTGAAGAAAACATGCAATACGAAATAATAAACAGTCTTAACTCTCACTTTCATTTCTCTGCTAGGAAAAACAATTTTGCATCATGATTTGCTAGAAAGGATCTGTTTTAGCAAACTACTCATTTTTGGATTTAATAATATGCTCAGAGAATTTGTTTAAAGATTTCCTCTCTTTTCTTCTGTCAACATTTCATTATGTAGAGAAGTAATAGGAAATGAGTACTTTTCACTTACACTGTAACTGATTATTATTTTATTATGTGTGAAGTACTGAGTAAATAAATTTGTTTTTTTTCTTATCTGACTCAAAGTTCCTGCATACTCAATCGCATTTTTGAATCTCATAAAAATTGCTATGCAAGCTTTAATATCAAAATCACTTCATATGTGATCTCCAAATTAAAGGAACTCAGAATTACCAGAATAAATATGCATTAGAGATGACAGATTAATTCAGAATATAGGTAGTTCAGTATAGTTTATCTTCAGCTGAAATCAGCTTTCTCTTTGATAGGAAGAAAGATCAATATTCACAAAAGGGCTGAAATTACCATGCATAGGTACACTATGGATGGTCAGCTTGCTCACATATAATAAAAGTATTTTGATACAGTCTACATTAATCTTTCAAGCTGCATCATCCAGATGAGTTAATTTATTAATATTTTGGAAATTAGGCTTTTTTTTGAGTTTCATTCTTGATGAGATGTCTCTAATGCTACCTTTGGGGTGGATTTGGTCATCTTGGTGTTTTAACTGTTTGTAAAGCATATTTCCTTGGAAGTTCAAAGGTTTGTACTTTACACACCCCTACATGGTAAATATAAACAATTAATAGAACATTGTAGTCATCATTTACTGTGTTTACATGCAGTTATTAAGTCAAAAAGTCTAATCAAAAGGTAATCACAGGTTTGAATGCCTTAATAATACTGTTCTATTTTATCTGATGATAACTATAGCTGTAGTGGAACAGAAGACTATTTAACAGTGCAACTTTCATGTTCAATTCATTTGGAAAACAGCTCATAGAATAGTGGTGGTGCAGTGAAAGTGTTTTTCAACATTTTAAAGAAAACTTGAGTTGTGGTGTAGTATACAGCTGACTTCTGTATTATAGGACAGTACTAAACGATAACATTAAATGGATAGTGAAAATTCCATTCAAGACGTCTAATAAACATGATGAATGCATTCAGTATGATGCCAAAAACACCTATCTATCTTCTTTATACCCATTTTTATTGTCAAATTTGGATTATAGGCCCACAAACTGAAATCTAATCTTTTTGTTTGAATGACTTTTGGAGGCTAAGCTAAACATAGCTGTAATTCCCACAAAAACACCATGCAGGGGCTTGAAGGTCAGCACTTAGTCAATAAAAGCAGACCAAGAATTTTGATAGTCTTTCAGAAAATCCAAAACTTCAAAGCAAGCTCTCTCATCTAGACTGAAGTTAATAATAACTGTGTATGAGTCTGGATAATTAGAAAAACAATTACTTTTACTCATAGTGTATTTTATATTCTATATCACAAATCAGTATACTTTTAGACTATGTAAAAATTACTTAATTGTAACCTCACTCTACATTACTTTTATAGCTAACCAGGCTGACACCAAGATAAAGACTAGATTGAATTAAACAATTAAACATTCATTTATTAGTGGTATCTTCCTCCACAGTGCCTTTCCTTCATTTTCCCCTAAACACTATAAACTCATGCAGTGAGTAAACTCATGCAATGAGACACAGTTCAGATCAGGGTAAGAAGTGAATTGCAAAAGTGCAGAACATCTCTGAAAACATCTCTCAGCACAGTGATTCCAGCTAAAAGGATAGACAGGTGTGATAGTGTAGCTACACAATCTTTAATCTGAACTTAACATGTAAGCAGATTCCATAGCTGCCTGAAATTGATTGCAGAAATATTGTTAAGATAAAAAGGTATGTAATATCCTGGATAAGTCCTTTAATTGCTTAAGCTAATTCTTCTGAAATGTAAATTTTATTATTCATTGGACAACCAGGCCACCTATAAAATCACATTTGAATCTTGGTTTCTTGCTGAGAAAAAAAAAATCTGTGAGTAAAAAATAAAAAAAATAGTTAACACCAAAGAAGATACATCAGCTAACAATTCTGTTTTAATCTTAAACACTGAATAAAATATCATAAACTCTGACTGTGATAATTATGCATTTCAGTAGCATTTTTCTGTTGTTCTTCCTAAGATAATTTGTTAATGAGAAAATTATTTATCATTACTGCTGCAGTCTCAACAGGCTAAACTGAAGATGCCTGTGATTCTCAAAAACCTATAACAATGAAAATAAAAAATATTAACATTCTACTTCTCTGTAAGGTGAGAAAAATATCACATTCAACCCTCATTCATATATTGCAATGTGAAAGAATTATTCAGTTCACTATACTTAAAGAATTTATTAGTATTGTTAACACTGCTATTCTTTGCAGAACAGTTTTATCCAGTTATTCTCAAAATATTTAATATATATGTATGTAATTGATATTGAAAATAGCTATTGATAGTTTAGCATACAGATTTTATTTATCAGTAGGCGACTATGGAATACTAAAAACCTTGAGAAATTAATCACCTGGGTTTTTATCTTGGAGGCAAGTCTAAAACATGGATAACAAATATCCATGTTATAAGCATCCATATTTAATTAATGGTGTCTTGAAGCCAAGGAGCATGAAATGCAGTTGATTTAATGCCTGCACTTTTATCTGTCAAAGAGATACCCCAAGACCAATAGAAATGGCTTACTCCAAATACCTCCTAAACAGAGGTAGCCTTTGCAGACAGGAAGATTTCCAAATGCAGAACAAACAAAGTAGTTTCTGATAGAGAAATATATAAATGGATACAAAAGGCCATAAAGAGATCATTTGAGCAACTGGAGAAATTTTCTTTAACCGCAGAGTAATTTAGGTCAAAATAAACCAAAATGGCATAAAAAGAGAGATTGTTTGACTGAAGAACCAACACAAAAAAACATTTGAGCAGAACCATCACATATGTCCTAAAGGTCTTTTTTTTAATGCCCAAATAATGCTTTAGAGTGGTGGAAGAACATATAGATGACTTTTCTCTTAAAGACCTTTTTTTGTTTGGTTGGGTATTTTTTGATGTTGTTGTTTATGTCATATATTTTTTTTTTAAATATCCAAACCAACCAACCAAAAAAAAAAATAAATAAAAAAGCCTACCCCAAAAAAAAATTTTTTTTAACATCCTGGATTTTTTTTTACAGGAGGAAAATGGAAAGACAGCAGTGTAACTGGGAATTGGGGTAGCTGACTGATGATACACCATTCATGTGGATATCAAGCAGGAAATGGAAAATAACCTCCTGGGAAGGATGTTAAATATAACAATAAATTAAGCTGCCAGCTAGGGAAGGTGTAGTGAGGGCAATGTCTTAAACATTTTAAGACTTGCGCTGAACTAGTCGGGATTTGAATTCAGTTCACAGTAAAATATTTCTACCTGAAGGACACAATGTATCTGGTTTGAAATTGGTCTAGGTCTGGTTCTTATGTTGTTGCTGAAGTTACCAGCCACAGGTTTTTCAACTGTGACCCTAACATGAAACAAATTTGTGTCCTATATTTTTTCAGAAGTTTTTGCCTGTACTTTATTACTTTTTTTAAAACACAAACAAGACATACAGATTTTCTTTTAAAGGGGGAAAAAATACACACCATCGTACAGAAATTTAAATTTTGTATTATGCATATATCAACAGAACTAACTTTGGAAATAGAAAAAATGCAGTCTGTACTCACAGAACTGAAAGAATCAATGCTAAACATCTCAGAACAAATCTTCACTGTAGTGAGAAAAATGATGGGTAACTACTTCATGCTCACCTGTCCAGAAACTGCATTTTCACAAACAAATGTTTCATAATTTTTAGGAAATTCTGGTGCATTATCATTAACATCAAGAACTTGAACATACACATTTGCTTCCGAAATTTTTTCAGGATTTCCTAATGGTTGAAAAAAGACAGAAATAAAAAAAAAAGTTATGAATAATCTTCTACATATTTTAAAGTAATATAAAGATTAGAAAATTTTGGATTTGTTCATGCTTTTCTTTACTCAATCAGAAACTGATTTAAATGTAAAAAAAATAAAACATGATCAGTAAAAAATAAATAATTTCTTGTTGATTTAGAAAAATTTACTGTACAAGCCATATCTAAGGTTATGTGGTGGGAAAGTGACAACTCTTCTAAGGGTATCTGGTGCTTTTCCAGTTAAATAGGAGTTAATAAGACAAAGAGGAAGCCATGAACAATATACTGGATCAAAAACCTGTGGGACAAGTGATAAAGAGAGGGGAGGATGAGGACATAACCTGGTCAGGTATACTAATTGATGTGGGCACCTGAAGTGGTGTGAGAGTGTTTTTTCCATCAGATCAGTGGTCTTGACAATTGAGAAACCAGGGGAGAAAAAGGGGAAAACAGAAGCAAAACCAAGAGACAGACCTGACAAGATAAACACAGAGACTATGATAAGGAACAAACCTAATGATAATTGATGGGTTATCCAGAAAACACAGGACAACAATTCTGGCTAGATCAACTTGGACTTTGTAACTGGCAAGACTTTAAATGAGAGGTACCCCAGATCTGGCAAAATAGGGACACAGTGGAGATTTATGGACCCACGGGATACATGCAGAGAGGAACAAAGTTCAGCTAGAAAAGGGAATAGAAGGGGCTGGTTGTGTGCAGAACAGGGCCAGCCAGTGCATTTTTCTGGCTTAGCCTTGCACCTGATCACCAGTCTGTTCTCTCAACTTACATCCTCTTAATAAACATTTTCTTAGCCATGTTTCTGCATAATCTCACTCTTTCTCTCTGCATATGTATGTGTGCTGCAAGGATTAAGTGGCAGCTCCTGGTGTGACCTGCATATGTGTGAATGAAAATTGATTCCAGATACTGGAGCAGGATGGGAATCTGTGATGCCAGCTACTGACTCAGGAGCACAGGGGACAATTGTCTGTGCCCTCCTCAGACTTGGTGTGCATGAGGTTCGTGTATGTTTTTACTGACAAAATTTAAACTGGATTCAACAATTGTTAGGGATCCTTGGGTCCAGGAGAAGTGCTTGGGAGGTTCACACTTAGGGAGGACTTGCAAATCGGAGTGCGAGTTCTGTGGGTTTCAAGTAAGCATCAGGTGTGCACTGGCTGGTGAGTTGGAGACCTGTGAATTAGATAAGAGGATTTGGGATTCAGGAAGGGGCGTTGGGCAAACAGATACTGAAGGGATCCATGAGTATGTGTGTGCTTGTGAATCTGGAGAGTGCTGTGCATGTGTGTATGTGTCTGCATTAGTGATCTTCTGCCTTCCCAGAAGAAGAGGGGAGTGGGCTGCCTGTGCTTGTAGACAGGGTTAGTCCTGTATGTAGGTGCTGCTGAAAGCAAAGCCTTGTCTGTGTCAATCCGAGTGACTGACTGCTACTGGCTGAGCCTGCAAACAGGTCAGCAGCATTCCTGACCTGGGTCTGCTGCTCCACAGCAGCTGAACATGAGCCAACTTGTGCCCATCTGGACAAGGATTGGCTGAGGGAGATGGAGTTGATAGTCTGGAGAAGAGGAGGCTCAGGGGCGACCTTATCACTCTCAGCAATTGCCCAAAAGGAGGTTGCAAGGAGCTGGGGGGCTGGTCTATTTTCCCAAGTAAGAAGTGATGAGCGGCCTCAAGATGCACCACTGGAAGATTAGATTTGATATTAGGAAAATGTTCTTCTTGGAAAAGCTTGTCTAGCATTTCAATAGGATGCCCTGGGAAGTGGTTGAGTCACCATCCTTGAAGGTATCTATAGTGCCAGATACAGACTAGGCAGCAGGCGCATGGTTGAGTGGTGGGCTTAGCAGTGCTTAGGTTCATGGTTGGATTCAATGACCTTATCAGTTTTTTCCAAACCAAACTACTCCTTCACTCTTTGATTCTATATTGGATACCTCTTGGAAGTCCTTTACCTTTCAGGACATGGAATCCTGCCTTACACAGCATAGCTTTAAGAAATATCTGCTAATCCTTAATGTAATTTATTATTTTTATAGGCACAAAGTTGCTCTGAAATAACAATGCTCACATTAACATGGATGTGTTGTTGGGTAATTAAGATGTTTTTCAGCAATTAAAGTAATCTTAAGATATTCCAGGAATACTGAACATTTGTCAGCCTAAATGTCTGTCAATGCATCAGGCACCTATATCTAAACCAGGACTGCCTCAATAATTATAGTTAAAATATGTCTCATGTTCAGTGCTAGTGTCACTGCATCTGATCTTTTCAGAAGTTCTTAAGGCATTGATTTAAATTAATTAAATAGATCTTTAAGAAAAAAGCTAAATTTACTTCTCTCTGCCTCTTTTCCAGCTACATCAGTTTGGTTGGTTCTTACATTACTTTTTTAATGCATAATACACTAGGTGCTTGGACCAAACATTTGTTTTCTTGGATGTTATGGAATCTATGCTGATACCTTTGAGTCTTTTGCTCAAGGAAATAGCAGGAAAAGCAAGTACCACAGAGATAAAGGCATAGATACTCAGCAGTTTCACATTTCTGTTCCTCCTGTGAAGTCATTACAGCTGTGCTAATTTACCAAACGTTGTGATCTGTCAGACTCATTTCAAAAATATTTCTTTGTGGGATGAAATTTCTCCTGTTGAATCAAACGTCCATATAATACAATAGGCAATGAAATAGTGCTCGGCTTCGTTTAGATAAACATAAGAAGTATCATACATTCTTTTTAAAAATAATATAAAGAGTGTAGGAGTTACCTTAATTCTTTTATTGAAGTCACAATTGGATGTATAGGGCAGAGATTTGACTACATTGTCTTTCAAAGGAGAGCTTTTTAATCTTTAACAGAAGGCAGGGAATGCCTTTGGTGGCTTCAGTTGTATAGAAAATAATACAGGAAGGACCCAGCTAGTTTTGCCTATTCTTACCTTCCTTGTTTGTAGCATTCATGGGTACTATATTGGCTTTAAAGACTATCCTTAGTTTACACAAAACATTTAGCTAGCACGTTGTTGGAATCACATCTGTATTCTTTTAAAGAAAGGTTTTAGGTTTTTTGTTGGTTTTTTGTTGGTTTTGGTTTTTTTTTGGGGGGGGGTGTGGGCAGGAGTGATTTTGTAATAGCCTTGTTTCTAATTCTTTAATGTATTTGGGTTGTAGCACCATGGCTGCCTTGATGGGATTTTTTTTCCTTAGTATAGGGTTAAATGACAAGGAAAATCATTTCTCTCATTTCTGTATCAATGGAAGTTTTTAACAATATGAAAATTTTTATTTTTTCTGAAATCACAGCTGTTTTGTTTTGGGAGGGAGCAACATATTGCAAAGACACTCTTGAAATCAGTGTCTGGTTAATATTTAATTATAGTTATTACAGTTTTGGTGAAGCAGAGTTACTCCATTATTTGCATTTTGAAAAGAAGTTTGAAAAAAGCTAATGCACCCATATCGTACAATATCTAAATATCTCCCAATTAGCAGAAATTTTTTGTTACAATCTCTACAAGAGAGATCAGGACTTGAAAAACAAGGACAAAGACAAGAGAATGCCAAGTGCAGCAAGCTGGATCAGTGTGAAAATTAAGATAACACCTCAATTGCTAGGGACCTGTATTATTAACTTGAAAATAAAAGCAATGACCATCTCTATATACAAAACACAATTCTGTATTTGCAGGGGATTAAAGAAAGCTTACATTGACATGAGACAAGTGAAGATAAACCTGTAATGATAACAATAATACTTGCACTACTACCAACAATAAATGCTATCTTCATAATTCATGTTTTTATAGCATGACTATCATTTATGCTAAGGTAAATTTCTTTACTTCCTAAAAGAAATGAACCTAAATAGTTTTTTAAAAAAGGACTACTCCAAAAAGTTAAAAGCTTATCAACAAAAATATATATGTGACCAAAGCAGGGTGACATTCAATTTCAAATTTATATTATCCATACTGAAATTATCACAGAACTTCAGTCCTGTATCCAGGTCTGGAGACCCCCATGAAAGGACACCAGCAAGACTCAGTGATAAAATGACATTTGTCTGTTGTGAGTTAATTTTGTTGGGATTGACAGTATTAAGTAAAACTGATCACAGAATCGTTGATAATTGAGGTTGAAAAAGACTTCTAGTTAATTAAGTCAAAATGTCAACCTAACTCTGCCACGTTCAGCACTAAACCATGACCCCAGGTTGAGGTATCCCATGAATTCTCCCCCCTTGGTCAATCCTCAAGCCCTCAGCCCTGGAAACACTAACTACTTATCATAGAGTAATCCCTCCCAAAGAGAAAAACAATAGAGTCATCCCTCCCAAAGAGAAAAACAGTCTCCCCCATGGTGTCTCAACTTCCCTGGTTTTCTCCTTCCCCTGTCATTGGCTTGGTACCCCTGGTGGCCACCCCTCTACCCCTGGTTGCCAGGCCCCTCTGCCCACCCCTTAGTTACGCCCCCCACCCTTCCCCTTTATAAGCTGCATGATCCACATGGTTGATCCTCTTTTCCTGGGTTTGTCCTTTGGTAGCAGTGTTACTCTGCTGGAATAAAACCTTGCAAAAGAGCCTTTCTTGCCTCTATCGCTGAGCCAGCTGTGCTTAGTGTTGAGTGGAGGTTAGACTGCACTGCCTGAGTGTTAACTCAGCTTGCCTTTCGGCAGGAGAGGCTTGCTGGGGACAAGAGATCGGCAGCAGCGCCCAGCACTTTAACACCCACATTTTTACCAGGTATCACATTCACAGGTTTTTTGAACACTTCCCAGGAAGGTGACGCATTTACTTCCCTGGGAAACTTATTCTAATGCTAGACAACCCTATTGCAGAAAAAAAAAAATCACTAGTATCTAATTAAACTTCCCGTGGTACAGCTTGAGGCCCTTTCGTCTTGTCATCTTACTTGTTACATGACAGAGGAGACTGACCCCTACTTCCCTGCAGCTTTCTTTCAAGTACTTGTAGACAAAGTTCCCTCCCAGCCTCCTTTTCTCCAATGCAAACAACCCCAACTCCCTGAGCTGCTTCTCACAGGACTTGTGCTCCAAATCCTTCACTCTCTCTGTTTCCTCTCCTGGATATGCTCCAGGACCTTCTGGCCACTCTGCTCCCGGCCTGCAGTGCCACGCAGGGTTGTTGTGACCCAAGTGCAGGACCTGGAACTTGTTGGATTTCATACAAGTGGCCTTGGTCCATCAATCCAGCCTGCCCACATCTCTCTGCAGAGCTTTTATACCCTTCAACACAAGAACCTCCCACAGCCAAATTGGTGCCATAGGTAAGCTGACTGAGAGTGCACTCAGTCCAATCATGCAGATCATTGATAAAGCATATTGAACAGAACTGACTCCAGTACTGAGCTTAGGGAAAACCAGTACTGACTGTCTGTCAATTGGATAGTAATGATTTAAAGATTTCTTGCTCAAAGGCAGTATTAGAATGCCATTATTTGTGCTTGAGCTTTGTACTTGGTGAAAGTTTCTTACAACCAAGTAAAAACTTATGAAAGGAAACTTGATTTTTCTTGAGCTTTTGGCATAAAGTGGAGAGTCAAAAGTTTGCAAGTTCTTCCTGCTCACATTTAAGTTCCAACAACTTAACATTAAGCCCTATTTCTGAATCATTTTAAAACATGCTCCCTCAATGGCATGAGGATACGATGGTCCACCGCACAGGTCCAGAGTAACACAGTCAAGCCTCTCTCACTAATCTTTTATCCCTGCAATTGTTGCAATGGACTCAAAAGTCTTGTGTAGTGTATGAATGTCAGGGCATATCAACAGGCTTCTGGGGCCTGTTGTAACACAGTTTCAGTACTTAACTAAGGTACAATGAATATCTTATTTGGATGAACTCTAATGACATTTTGATTGTGCTTTGGTGGAGCCACATTGCCATTCACCAAATGTCTCATGCACACAGTACATATAGTTGTATTTTAAGAAGTAATATACTGCTAGTTCCTGATACAAATCCTTTCAGGTGTGCCCAGACTAAGGTGACCTAAATTCAGATATTTTGAACATATCATTATAGACAGTGACCATATCATCATTAAAGAAATAAAGAATAAGCATTTGAACATAATGGGGTCTCTATTTCTCTATAATAACTTTCATTACCATGAAAGTCTAACTTTCTTTTGCTGCAAGAGACAGTTATTCATTTGTAACATTTGGTTCTCTCCTGTTTTATTGTTTAACTAAAAAAAAAAAAAAAAAAAAAAAAACAACTCTAGGCCAAAGTTGTCCTGCTGTGTTTCCATAGAGCTGTAACATGACATTGAAATTCATGCTTAAAATCTCACAAAGAGGCTGAAAAGGAAGATAGTACCATCAATTCCTAAGTACAAGTTAAAAACTTCAATGAAAATCGATACTGACTATCCTATAGTAGACTTCCAGCAGTAATATTCTACAGGGAAGTCCCCTTTTTGGCAACATTGAAGTTGAATAATATATATTTAAAGTGGTCATAGCAATAAATTACATTTAACTGAGATTCAGGAGTAAAAAACAGATGCTAAGATTATTTGGCAAAATAGATCTGATTTATTGTTGTTACTCTAGTTTCATATTGCTTTTCTCCTTCCTGAGGATGAATGGAAATAGTTTTTAAATAATATCCCAGTAATCTTGTTAAACTGCCTTATAAATGAGGAGCTATTAAATTTCTAGTGCTGTCCCAGATTCAGGGGAAACAGATCACCAAAAACACAAACAGAGGTAATTTGCATTTGACTTTCAAACAAAATTGACAGGTGAAATCTATATAGAGGGTGCTTTAAGGCTCTAATTGTCCCTGAATAGACGTCTAGATGATTTAGGCCTTAACATTTACAATTAATTTGAGCCACAGGTTTCTGACTGGTGTTAAATTAGACCCTGGCTAATTTCACACTAGTCAAAAATCTGGTGTGAAATTAACCAGGGTCTAATTTAACATAAGATCTTGCACTGCAGGAGCAATTCTTATGCTTCAGTGTATCTTGAAAGCGTTACACTCTCAATCCTATTACAATTTCTTTTTTCATAAGGTCATCTTTTATGAAAAAGCACAGGACCTTGGAGCTCAAGTACATTCCACTTCTATTTAACTAATCATTTTAATAATGCTCCTTAGTGTAGCAAGCAACAGCAATATAATCAGAAAGAAGAATGTATTCTCCACTTTAAAGAAGGCACATACAGAGGATAATTACAGTTCATGGTGTAAGAACCCCAGCGTTCCTTACATTTCTTACTCACTTGTTTCTGTGGCTGTAACAGTTATGTTGTGCCAAGAAGCTCTCTCTCGGTCCAGAGGTTCAGTGGCAATGATTGCTCCATTGTGTTCATTGATGCTGAACAGTCTCTTTAAACGACTGCTGTGGACAATGGAGTACCTGCACCGAAAAAAGGAAAGACATTCTGTAGTACTGAAAAGTTCCATCAGAGGCAAGGATATAGAAAGCTTTTGTCAGCTGAGGAAATAGAGCTGTGCATATATGCATATAAATGTGTGCTGCAACAACTCAGAAATCATGAAAAATGTACATGTATAAACATTTAAAATTCACTGCTGCCAAGATCAAAGCTCTTCTTTTTATAAAACTAAATACATCTCAGATCTATATTAATATGAACTGAATCTGAAATGCATTATTCATTCTTACTTCTAAGTCAGTCTCCCAGCAGGTGAATGACTTCATTGAAAAGAAACAGCAAAATTGCCACTTGTGAAATGAATAACACCAACATCTAAGTGAAAGTATAATAGCAAATCTATTTTATCATTGCTGACATGCTCTGATGCCAAGGGAAGGGGCACTATAAAGACACACAACTGTCTGTAATGAGGTGACACTAAGGCAGAGTACAAAATCCTTCTGCAGGAGTTTGCAGGAAAGACTCTGTGCTCCTGAGTCTTTGCCAAAAAGGGTCTGGATGCTGTGGATATGTGGATGTGTATATGTGCACATACATAAACACACACCACTCAAGCTGTTAAAGTCTAACAGCTTGTCGCAGGACAAAGATGAACTGAAATAACAACCAAAGATATTGCAATTGAAATAGCAACCAGAGATAATGCAAAATATATTTACTGTTGTTTTTAATGGTCTACAAAGCAAAAGACCATATGATGCAGTTGCTAAATAAAGTCTATTTCATGGAACTAAAACCTGTTTGAATAATTGAAAGATTCTTTCCACTCCAATTTGGAATGTCCACATGCAACTTTTCTTTTTTATTGTACCTTTAATTCTGCTTGGCAAAGCCTTTCTGTAAATGACTCTCTAGGTTGTTATTTATAGCTACATTGTGTCTCTTTTAAAAATCAGTAAGAAGATAAATTGAAGAACCAGCACAATACTGTAAGTGAAAGCTCTTACAATTTGAACAAAACTTTGGATACTTATAAACTTTTGTTTGAGGTATTTATAATTTTTCTGACATAGTTATTTTGTTTGGGCATTTTTTGGTAATCTGACTCTTGAAAAAAAAATTTTCAGAAAAACTTTATTAGGTATTTTTTATTTTTTATTACTAACATAGTGAGGTTTTGTTGCACATCTTTTTAACTTGTTTGTTTGAAACGTGGAGTCCACAAACCAACAGAAGTTGTTTTCTAAATTATAAGTACTGCTGTCATTTATGATAGGAATGGTTTCAAAATTAGATTCATTTTCATGGCACTTAGCTCAAAACTATATCTTTTTATCAGAAATTATGTACTCTATTCAAAACTCATTGATGCACTACCTGTATCACTGTTTTGGAAATATGTGGACATATTCAGTTTGAAGCCAGTTCCTCCAGAACATTTCTGACTAAGAAGTTATAGATATGTGTTAATGTTTAATTGTTCCACAGAAGATATAGAAGTCAGCTAACCAAACCACCAAATGAGCCCTTTTAGAGGAAGGGAAAAAAAAAAAAAACTATGTACTTTTTTTTTTTAATTTAAACTATTATTAGTCTAATAAATAACAGTAAATTAATGGAAAATCATAACAAATCACCACCTACAGCTCTGAAGCTGTAGCATAATATATATATATATTTCTCATATTAGAAATCTACACACCATAAATTATTTTGTGTCTCAACCATTTGTCACTGTATCCTGCTTTTTCTAAATTGCATAGTACATAGTGATGTCAGGCAATTCAAGAAGCTATTTTAATTATAAATCCCAGGGTAAAGATAATTACCTGGTTTCTCCTTTAACAGACAGCAAAATTATTTATCATGGATAGTATAAAAAGAAGAATCTGCTGTTGTTGGGTTGAGTGGCTAGGTGTCAGTTGGCTTGTGGTGAGAAATTGTTTTGGGTCTTTTTGCATCACTTTTTTTTTTCTTGGGTATTTGTTTTAGATATGGGATTTTCCCATCTCTTATTTTGTTTGATACTATTATTGTTATCGTTATCGTTATCCTTATCCTTATCCTTATCCTTATCCTTATCCTTATCAATAAAATAATAATTAACAACTGTCTTTATTTGAATTTATTTTATTTATGAGTTCTCACAACTTTACGCATTCTCTTTTTCATCCCAGTGGCTGTGGAAGTGAGCAAGTGCCTTTATGGTCCTTACCTGCTGATGTGGGTTAAACCATGACAATAGCAATAACCTTGGCTATCACAATAAAAGCATGATTAACTGTAATTGAGAGCTATGGTAAGGAACAGAAATATCCTTTGGAAATACCAACTACATTTACCTGACATCACTATGTACTATGCAATTTAGACAAAGCAGGATACAGTGACAAATTGTTCACATTTTAAGACAGGTACCTGACTGGACTCTCATCATCATCTGGATCTCTGGCAGTTACAGCCCCAACCAGTGCGCCCCTCATAGCTCCTTCATCAATCTCCATCACATAGTTGTCCAAGGTAAAAACTGGAGGTTCGTCAGCATCTTCCACATTGATTTTGACAATGGTTGTGTCTTCAAATGGTCCTTCTTTCAAAAAACGCTCATCAATGTATCTATTTACAGCTTTTACTTGAATACTGTATCTCCGTTTGCTCTCATAATCCACTCTCTGTTAAGAAAGAAAGTGAGATTTGGAATATGTCTTTCTTAATATTTAAATTAAATATAGTTCAATAAATGGGGTGACATTAAAGACAAAGTAGCATTATACTTGTTTTAAGATTGTTTATAAAAAGGGTTACTACTAGAAATTAATTCTAAGGTTTCCTTTTTATGTTAAAAACATTTTCAAATTCAAATGTGCTTGTTTGCTTTCACATTTCACACTGGCTTTAATGCTGCAGTCAAGCAACACTGTAAAAAACAATTCCCATAGAATATCATCCCTAATGACACATAGTTTCATTAAAATTTTACATGGTCTTTATCTTTTGAATTAAACAAACAAACACATAAATAAATAAATAAAAAGTCTACTAAGTAAATAGCTTCCCAAACTAAAGAAAAACCCCACAAAACAAACAAAAAAGATGTTCACACTTAAAGCATTCAATTCTTCAGAGGCCTACATTTCACTAGGTTATTGAACTCTATCTTCATTTCAGTGATCCCTGAGATGACTGAGAAATCATTCTGAGTGGTTCCAAAATAAATTATGCAGTATCAAAGAATATTAATTTTCTTAATTCATAAACTGGTCCTTTTTTATTGTACTTAATAGCTTTTTAAAACCGTGTCCCAACAAAAAATCCACTATCTAATATATTAGTAAATTCTTGTTTAAGTTAACAGGAGGCGTTGGAAGTGAGGTGAGATTGCTTGCAATTTATTAATAAATATTTTACAGGCAATGCACAGAAGAGATAGAACATTTTCTCACAACGGGATACAGTCTGTGGCACAGTTAGGGATAACATTAAGATATTCTTGCTGCCACTATTATATTCAGCAGTAATAGGAGTGAGTCAAAAATGTCAACAGAAAGAAAAGCATTTTTTCTTTTTTATCCCTTGTAATACTCCAATCAAATCACAAAGCCTAAACAAAAAAGATTAAGAGAATCCAAAGCAGTAGATCTTCCCTGCACATCCAGCTTTCTTGAGGATTTTCCTTCAATTATTAGAGATTTTTTCAAAAGTTTCTGAGATCTTACCTTTTTTAGTAAGATAATTCCTTCTTGAGTCTCTTCGTTAGTAATGATGTTAAAAACATCTGGGCTATCTGCTTCAATGAAATAGTCCATGGCTGCGTTGTCCCCAGTGTCTCTGTCTTCTGCAAAGACTTTGCCTACGGTGGTGCCCACGGGAGCCTCTTCGGAGACACTCATGTAGTAGAGTCCTAAAGAAACAAAAGCTGGCAAAGTTTAGTGATCTGCCATGGTTAATAGTGCTGTAGCTTGAGGTTCTCAGAGAGCTGGGAAAAGTCCCAGCTTCCACCGGAGCAATTGATGTGATCTGGCATTGTATAGATCTTGGGTGGAGGGCAGGACAATCTTTTCCCTTGGGAACCCTTCGCTCTCCAGCCTACTCCATCAGTGTACAGAGCTAAGGACTAAAACAAAACAGCTCATGGTTTTAAACTGAACGAGGGAAGGTTTAGATTAGATATAAGAAAAGTGGTTTTTACTCTGAGGGTGTTGAAATACCAACACATGTTGCCTAGAGACAAGGTGAATGTTCCATTCCTGAAAAATTCTAGGTCACTTTGAATGCAGCTCTGAGCATCCCTGTCCAAGGAAGGTTGGACTAGATGACATTTAAAGATCCATTCCAACACAAATTATTCTATGGTTCTATGACTAAACAGGGTGAAAAAACAACCAAGGACAGCACTTCCCAACAGTGCAGTTTTTTCCTGATAGCCCAATGAGCAGCTCCCACATCTGCTACAAACTACCTGGACAGAGAGGTTCACATCATTTGCCAAAAACTCTCTAGCATGAGTCAGAAACAAATGAAAAGAGGAAAAGAAGGGGAGTGAAAATGATGCTAAATATCCTGTTTTCCAGATTTTAGGCTGAGGTTGTGCAAATTATAGGGAAAGCAGTTTAACGATTTGTCTCCAGAGTCTCTTAGTAAGAGAAACCAGCAGATCTGAGATTTTTGAAATGATGGATTTTATTTTCCTCTTGGTTTTTGAGCTTTTGTGAGGACTTTGGGGATTTTTTCCACTATGTTATTTTTTTTACAGCTGTATGCTAATTTTAAAGCACAGCCCCGTTCTAAAAAGACCAACCTGCAAACCTAACAGAGATACAGTGGATCTAAATTTCCTCAAGACTTCCATTACTGTAATTAGTCTCTACTCACGTTGCTGAAATTCAGGTGGATTGTCATTGACGTCAGAGAGATTGATGGTAACAGTGGCTGTTGCAGAAAATGCTCCTGGTTGCCCAACCATATCTTTGGCTTGAATGATGACCAAATACTGATCTTTTGTTTCTCTATCCATTCCGGAAGCCATTCTAATGACCCCTAAAAGTAAAAAGAATAATACAATGGCATATGTCTCATTTTTTTCTCAATATCTGACATGGGTTTATAGTATAATATACATATAACATGTATCACTGCAGCCAGTTATGAATTTTCATTCTAAACTGTGCATAGAACAACTGTTCTTATACTGGGTATTAGTAGTCCTCATGGTAGCAAGTACACTGTATGTCAAACCCATTCTGTATATTTAGAGTTCTGGGGAGCAGAATACTCCATATATTTCCTCTAACATATAAAAACCTCTCTATTACTCAGAAATTAGGCTATTGGAGGGATGTCACATATCTGTAGTTTCTCAACATACAGATAGACATATCACATGATGTGCCATAGAGGTGTTGATTCAGAAGTGTTCCTAGAATAATGTATAAAGTATGATATTCAGTGTCTAACTCTAACAAGATAATTTTTTTAAAAATTTTTAAATAAAATTTGGATTTGCTAGAGAGAAAGAATTTCATCTTCCTGTGGGAAAGAAAAGTTGATTTTTTTCAGCTCTAGGAACTATGCAGAGATGAAAGAGTGTAGAGTGATGTCAGTTGATCTTTGTTAAAATCAAGATAGACAATTTTGCTTGCATCCATTTTATGAGTTTATGAGGGCACAAATTCACTTGTAGTACCTGTCTTCGGCTCCACTGAGAAATAAGGCTGTCCCTCAACAAGACTGTAAAGCAGACGAGCACCATTCCCATAAGAAGGATCATCAGCATCTGTAGCTGTTACCTGTGTAACCGAAATACCTCAAGGAAAAATAAAGTAGATTATGTTTGTTTTCTTCTTGTATAAATTGTCTCATAGTTACAAAATATGAATTCTTTAAAAACCTTTTAACATACCAGTTATACTAATAAACAGTCCTAAAAACTTACAGGAGCAAATGGCATCTATTAAATTTACTGTTAAAAAGGGAAAATATTTCCTCAGCAGCTGTTCTTGTTGCATTCAAAATTTCAATTAAAACAAAAATAAACCATATATGTTTTTTCAGCACTACATTTATATTGCTTAAAATGCTACATATATCATGCCTATTTTGTAGTATGTCCGTGGAGTAAAGCAAATTGTTTCTCCTCCTCTCCTTCAAAGTATTCTACAGAATTTTCCCATAGGAATAAGAAAACACAGTCACTTTATCAACAGTAGGCCCGCTGGTGATAAAAAAATTAATTGTTAACAAGCAAAGCAACCAAGAAGTATAACAAGGCTCTGAACAAATTTTTTATTCTTGAGTCTTTAATGAGCTTGTCCCAGCTCAAAACTTGTGGCAGAAATCCCAGTGCAAAAACACAGTGGAATCAAACTGCAAAGCTTGGTTTCTTCTTTGATGGGAAGCTGTTCATATCCTAGATAGAAGATTGACAGTAATCTCATGGCACCTTGTCTAATGACTGTCCTTTAAAAAAAATATCCACAGTAACATAATTTTTTAAGGTAATCATTATTTTTATCTTTTTTTCCTCTCTTAGATTCTGCATTAGAAAACAAATATCACTTCTTGTGAGGAACAGCAGGAAATCAAGCTACTTCCTAAAAATTTCTGGGATACATTCACACAGTTGCACCTGCTTATCAATACAGCAGTATAGTTAGGCTGGAGGGGAAAAGAAGAAGAAAAGGTGGAGTGCAAGGAGTTAGACCAGAAACATCATTTTTTAATGACAAAAGCAAATGTGATATTTGTCCCAAATAAAACAAATATATTCATTGCTGGGTTTTCTAGCAGTTAAATAGTTTTATTTTTAAATAGAAATGAGCAACAGCTTTCTTATATAAGGATAGGCTAAAATAAATAATTGACTTCTTTAAAAAAAATGTTTTTTCATTTTTCTCTCAATTTGTTGAGCAGCATTTGAAGTGATTCCATAATGCATCTTTTCTTCTCTCAGGCAGAGAGTGAACTAAGCTGTTATTAATTCACACTAAATTTTGGACCTATATGTCCTTCATAACTTATCTACAATATCAAATATCTGACATGTGGGTTTAGATGCATAAATATAGATTATTTAGATGTGTGTATAGATGTATAAATATATAGAGAGATCGTATTACTTCGGAGAAATTTTAAAGTTAAAATTACAAATTCATATTTAATCAGAGCACACAAATGCCTCAGAAAACACAGAATTCTTTACTAAGTCAAAAGAGCAAATGGAACCTTCAGCTACATAATTATTAACTTCATGTCAGCTGTGATCTATGAAAATTGGTCTCAGTTGCAGAAAATTCATCCTCTAAGAACATTTAGCATGACTAGAACACAGTTGCTTTAAAAAAATAAATTGCTAATTAGGAAAGGATCAGTCACTATCGATGATCCAACAGGTTTAGTATGTCAATGTCATTTTCTACTGAACAAACTCAAGTGTCCACAATTATGTTTAGGAATGCACCTATTTATAGCAAAATATTTAGTAAATCAGTAATAAAATACAACATATGTAGAACTTCAAGTCATCATCACGGCCTTTGTACATTTAAAGGTAAATGTATTTCTGCACAGTTTCTAAGCAGTATAAAGAAATATTGATTCTAAATCAGCTTTTCCTTCTTCTCTGGAACGCAAACACTTTTCTTCTTGTCTGTTAACTCTTCTAGAGTATTTCAGAATACAGTAGTAAGGACTTTGTTCAGCTGGAGCCAGTGAGATGCACCTGGTGGATGTAATCAATGGAAACGTGAATAGTCAAAAGGAATCTAGTAAAGAGGGAGCTGACCTGGAAGGAAGAAAAAACAGATATCTTGCACTCCAAGGAAGAAGATAATTTATTTCTAAATTTGAGTGACAGGAGACCATGTGGAGAGCAGGCTATCATTTCTCACATTTTTTTAGAACAAAGATTGTGTGATAACTACATGAAGCTCTACATTAAGTATGGACTATGTAGCAAGAAGAAGAAAAATGTTACCCTGGCTTTAGAGTACATCCTCAGTTTTTAATTTTCAACTTTCATGAAACTTGTATTTCTTTATACATTTAACCATCAGAAAAAAAAAATCCATCAAAACTAACTAAACTAAAACAGAAACAGAATCCCAACAAGAACAAAAAACAAAACAGAACCCAGAAAAAAACCCGCAAACCTCAACTCAAACCATTTGCAGAATAGTATCATATTAACCTAATATTTGTATTTGGGTGCAAGAAATTGAAATGTTAATATTCCATACTCAAAAACTCCCAAGAGCCATTATTTGTAACTACATGATTGTGAGAAGAATAATTGAACAGATACAAATAATTTATTTTAAAAAAATCAATTAACATATTTCACATTGCACACACCCCCTAAAGTTAAGAAACCACAAAGCCCTAGTCCTGACATTAAAAACATCACATGATATAGCTTAAAATTGAACTTTTTTATTAGCTTTATTTAAGGCAAAGTGCTACTTTGTATCTCTGCAGCCTTGATTTTACCCTTCTTGGGCGAATTATGGTAGAGTGCCATTTATACCCTGCAGCCCATTAGGTATACTGTGGGGCCCTCATATGGCAAATAGCTCTCCATTTTTCTAAATAATGCTTGAGATCTATAAAGACATTAAACACTGATAGATTATTGCATGTGACTCTCAACCACTCCATCAGATATACTGCATTTGTACAAGTTTAACAGTTATAAGGAAGACAGTGTAAAATCGTAGCAAATGCCTGAGGGTAAAACAGAGTCCTGTGTTCTCAGAAGAGAGTCCATTTGCTGACACACTGTTCATTTACTGTGACACTTGCATATAAAAGCCTAATAAAATTTACTACTGAAGATAAAAGAGAGCTAATAAAGAATTAAAATGTATTCTAATTTTTTGGCACATTTGTGTATATATCGGTACTTGTAACTAATTTCAGGCACAGTTATTTGTGTCTATTTTCTGGTTGTGTTGTGGTTGTCTGAGGCAAGTGACCAGCTCTGAATTATTATCTACTCGCTTTCTTAGTTCCAGAAAAAATGTGCAGCAACAGTGACTTGCTTTTCCAAGTCTTGACCATGCTTCCTAAGAATGTTTTCTGTGAGGAAATTATCAGGAGACCAAGCATCAGTGAACTGAACCGAAGCTAGGGAGCACTGAAACAGAGCAAAGAGCAAGCCTCTCTATTGCACTGCGTCATTTAAATTAACTCTGTTCTTCACCCCTTATTATGCAAGAGTATGTTTTAGTTCGCTGGGAGAAAACCACTAATGTAATCAACCACTATGCTACCGATACTGCAAACTTCAGTGGGTTGTCCTTCCTCTCTGCTACGAGTTTATAAATTTCCTTGAAAGATTGAAACAGGTTCCACCTCAGTAGTGCCGTCCCTGCCTTTTGAGAAGCTGGGTAAGTGAGGCCCCAGAAATACTCACGGTGTGTGGTTCAGGTGTTTCATGTTTTGGAGCTGGCCACTGTCAAGTATACACTCCACTTGCATTTTATACTCCAGACATACACATTAGTATTCCAGTAGTGTCTCCATGGAAGAAGGAGATGAAAGAATGATCTTCTTTCATTGGAATGGCTATGGTATTAGTGCTAGAGAGGTCAAGTGTAGAAGCAGTAATGCAGAAAATATTTCAAGATCCTGGATGACCTGGATTCATCTATCATACACTGGACGATCGTAAATCACTGAGTTTACTATTTCAGCAAGTCCATGTCTGAGAGAGAAGGCAAATAGGGTTCTTACCTTATTTTTTACCCATTCTGACATGGGTAAAAAATGGCACATGGCTTTAATTCTGATTTTTAATTTATTTTTCATTTCATATGTTTCTATATTTCACTGGAATATTTTTTTAACTATATAATATTACAGGACTATCACAAAATAAATTACATTTTCTGCAGCTTAATTAATTTTATGGTGAAGTGATACCATGTTTCAGGAATGTATATACAATAGATGACACAGGAGAGTGGACAAAGACAGCTGAGCCTTTCATTTTTAGTGGATCTCTTTATAGCAAACTCAAGGCAGTAAAGAGTGAAACTCCTCAATTCTCAACTGCTTGTTGATGGTTTCAGGTAAGAAACAGAAGTATATGGGAAAAGATTACTACTGTTGTTTTTGGTCTTATGTACCATCCTACTTGACTTTCTTTTTTTTTTTTTTTACTTTTTTCTCATATAGCTATCATAAAGGCAGAAAGATAAAATGGAAGAAGTTCAGTTGTTCTTACATTTATGTGAGTGTTTAAGAGTCTTTAAGAGTATAAATGAAGACATACTAGATAATCAGCCATTCAAAAATTATTTTTATAACAGATTAAGGAGCCTATAAACAATGTTTTACCACAGAGGGGAAAAAAAAAAAGAAAAAAAAAAGAAAAAAAAAAGAAAAAAAAAAAAGAAAGGATTTATCAAAGTCCTACATTTTTTAAATTTTAGGTAATTCTTGACAATGAATTGTACTCATTTTTGCTATAAGAACATAAAAAATAAAAATGTAAAGGTCTTTGACAAATTGCCTATCTTGTCTCCAAACTTGAGCAAATGAACAAGATGCAAAAGCTGGAAGAACCCTCTGAACTAGCAACTGATTATTTTAGAAAAAGTTATTTGAGCAAGAGGTCAGGTGCAGAATTAAGTCTGTCTGCACAGAAGAAAGTGACAGTGATTTCCCTAGTGGAAAGTGGTATAAGCAGGTAGCAAGTGTCACTAGCAAGTAAATTGATCAAATTCATGTCTTTTGCATCTACTGCTGGTGGTGATGATAAGCTGCTGCATCCTGGCAGAAATTAGGGTACTATCCTCACCTTCAATTAAATAGCAGGCATGAATATCCTTTTCTTTAATCTGCTATCCTGGCTGGTAGAAGAAGATAAAGTTTATGGCTTGCTGTCAAATATTCACTGATTCTGCTCAAAAAGTTGAGCAGATAATGCTTAATAGCATCACTGATGCTATTACATTAATGACCTCATTGATTCATACTTAAAGCATACTTACATTGATTCGTATTTAAAGCACCACAATATTTGAATTTCTTTTCAATATCAGTTGCAATAAAACAAAAGAAGTAGGTGTATAAATTTGAAAGATTACTGGAATCTTTCCTGTAAGATCTGAAGTTTCCCTTTGATTTTGAAGATAGCTATTTGGAGATATTACCTATAACATTTCTGTTTATGTCAGCTGTATTAACACTGGGGTTTTCGAAGGCTTACATGTCCATGTATTATGAATGCAGATGTGTATGTAAACATGTATATACATATACCTGTATTTGCCAGATGTTGACTTTGCTTTGCATTTGTTGTATTAAGTTTCCAGATACATGACAGATCCTAATACAGGTCTCTCTGATCATGTGAAAGTGAGAAAGAAGAAGTACACGGATTAAGTTTTTCCTATTGACAAGAAAATTACAATTCGTGTACTTAAGAAATCAGAAGGCAGAATGCATTCACTGCACATATATAATCCAAACAAGGAGAAGCTGACTGAAAGGAAAGAGGCTTGGCAGTGTAAATAAGTAGGCCACATGCAGACAGTGAAAGTGGCTATCACTTCTTCCCAGCTGGCTGCAATACTCTACCTATTTCTACTGGGAATATTATATTTTTAAACAAGTGCAAATTTCAAGGCTGAATCACTGACAAGAAAGACCAATGTCTATAGTCAATCCAAGCATGTATCTAGAATCTGTAAAAGCACTTGGATAGATGTAGGTACCTAAATATTTAAAATCAAGAATGTTAAGTAGAGGTATTTGCATCCTCAAGTTAAGAATATACCTTTGCAAATTTCCAAACCTATAAAACAGTTTCCTTCCTTCTTACTGAGATGCAGTCTGTTAAAGATGCTATTAAAATTTTACTTCAACATAGCTGTTTAGAAAAAAATCAGGAAATAAAGAGTTTGATTCACAGTATATCATACCTTCAGGCGACATCTCTGGAACAGTGGCCACATAAGGTCCATCCAGGAACTGAGGTTCATTGTCATTGATATCTCGAACCTTGATGATAAATTCTGAATCAGGTTCAACACGAAGCTGGGTGCTCCTGTTAATTGCTTTTGCTGTTAAAATGTAGAAAGGTTTCTTTTCTCGATCCAACTTTTGTTTTACATAAATTTTGCCAGTATATTTGTCAATGTCAAAAAAGCTTCCAGCTCCCTCCCCGGCCAAAATGTATTCTAAGTTGCCATCCTCTTTGTCTAAATCTGATTTCACCTGAAAGCAAAAGGGAGAAAAATAAGTCACAGTTTAGGAAGAATGAAGTTTTGAAATATTCTTTTTATGTTTTGTTTTGATTCTACAGTGAACTCTGTTACTAACGAGCCTTCTTGGACATTATTGTTTGAAAGGAGGTACTGTCACATTCTCAGCCAATCATTTTAATTTATTTTTTTAAAAATTTATTTAAAAGTATTGATATAGCAGACTATTAAATGTGTAATATACCTGAAAAGAGATTCTTCAGCTACTTTGAAGTGAAGGGAATGAATTTAAGTACCTACTTTAGTTCATTTTTTCAGGTCCCCCTACGATTCTGCTGAAAAGACTGCAAAGGTCATTAAACATTATCTAATTTTTATTATTTCAGACGATACATGTACTTTTTAAGGTGTTTATTTTTTTTGTTAACTCAACAATGCTAAGTGTGAATGTATGCAACAGTGATGTTCTGTTTCTGTTGAAATATTAGAAGGGAAAAGACATTCTGTGGTGAAAGTCTGTATTGTTTATTCCAAAACAAATTCATAGATATTTTTCATTTCTATCCAAGATGATCTACATCCTCTGTTGTATTGCTAAGATGAACTTTATGGTGATGATTCCTTTGATGAAGCTGAGCTTCATCAAAGAGGACTGAGGAGAAAATTTTAGTCCAGCTGCATTTGTTCATGACAACCAAATAGTTCTGTTAATATTAGTGATATATAATGGTGCAATATTTTAAGAGCAATAACCTGATCTCCTGACATAGCAAGCATCCACAGTTGAATTTTATGGGAACAAAAATTTCCATTATATCATTAATTATCTATTTTTTTCTCCACTTGTTTTGGTTTTAGAACAAAAAATATCAAACTCTCTAAGAGCTGGATACTAATTGAAAAATCCAAGGTAAAAAAAAAAAAATATTCAACTTACTTCTCTTTATGAAGAAACATGATTAAAATGCAAATAATATGCCTAACTGTTGACTTTAATATCTCACTGTTTTGCTTATGTTTATTGAACCTAAAGGTCACTGTAAGTTGTGAAGCCATAGAATGGGAAAGTAACAGTTCCCTGTCAGATATCCTCAAATATTTTATAATACCTTCTGAGGTTGCAAAAATAGTTTAACTTTTTTTTGGAAGAATGACTATGCCTTTTAAGATTTTCATAATGCATAATTGTCTGCACGCATCAGATGGATAATTGATTCAGAATGTGACTGGGACACTGCTCTGAGGTATGAGGAACAGTTTTGAGTTCCTATTCTGAGTTCTGTAAAAGTATTTAACACCTAAAATATTCAGAGTTAATTGTCCTTGCCAGTACAAAATAGAGAATTTTCAAGTCTTAGGGAGTTTAGAACCATTTTAAATATGAACAACTTAAATATTTTCAGCATAAGTAGTTGTATGCTAAACATGGACCGTGTTACCCCCTTAAGTGGTCTGGTCAAACTCCTTTTAACACCATCCAAATCTGGCATTTCACTGAGGGGCAACACAGATTCTTTGTTACCCATAAATCTTTGTTTCCTTTTCACAAAAGCCAGGACATGGGAGAAGTGATATATATCTAAATCTTTAAACTAGCATGGGGCTCAGATGTGACCACAGAGTGTATCAAAGCCTCAGGGTCTGGGAGCATGCCTTTGGCTGGCTGCTAAGCCATAGCCTGTGTTTAGTAATTTCACTCAGAATCATTTGTCCACAAAAGCTTTCATGACCTTGAACATGTGAAATGAGAGGTCCCTTACAGATGACATTTACTGAGAAAGAATAGCAAAGGTTCTAGGTTAACTTGCTTTTTTTAGGCTGGGAACAAAATAAATGGTCTTACCATTGTAAATGAAAATTGAGAACAAATATTTTTGTACTCATCCTTGTGTATCTGCCATTGCAGTGCTGATGGACACATTTAATTTTTCTTAATCTTGATAATGGAAATGGAGTCATGAGTCTGTGTTATATAAAATTTGAAAATTTTTTTCTGACTGAAAAAAGATTTTGATATGGAATAGTGATTTAAAAACAGAGACTGTCTACCTTTGAATTTTCGTTGATGCAGTTTTCTTCAGAGCCTTAATTACTAAAAATTCATGTGTTGATCAGAGACTACCACTTCATTTGCTCAAAGCAGCGCATATTCTACTCAATAAAAAGACACAAGTAAATATGTCTTATTAGACAATGGTTTCACTGCAATATATTAACATTAATCTTCAATAAAATCCCCAGTTAACCTGTGAGAAATAAAAAGGTGAGATCATGAAAATACATGACATTTATGTTGATTGTTTTTTCAGGAAGTACTTTTACAAAGTATTGAAAAAGCAATAATAATTGTTTAAAAAATAGAAAGTATGTCTTCACATTTTCTTTCAGAAGTGAGACATCACACTTCCATAGTAACTACTTTGAAAGGGCTGTGAAAAAGTAATTAATGAATTTTGAGCACTTCACCCTTTGGGCCCAATTAAATTTTAGTGCTAGTTAATTAGCAGTTAAACTTATTTTAGCTCATTCATTTAAAAAGGGCCTTAAAGAAAAGAAAGGCAGATCTTAAGATTAAAATTGCTTCTAGCATACAAAAATAAATAATAATAATAATAAATAAAATAATGATAAGCAGAGAGAGAAGGGGGCAGATAAACCCTCATTAAGACAATTATCTTAAAGCACATTTTTAAAGGAGGGTGAAAAATAATTGCTCGTTGTACTAAACCTATGTTAATCTAATGAACCATGCAGATTCCCGTAGTTTCTCAGTGGTAAAAGGATTTAGTATTAATCAGCTTCATTAAAAATTAATGAGGGGTAAATCAGCTGCTACTTAGTGTAATAGAAAATCAAACTAAATACTGTTTGTAAACTACACTACACTCAGTATGGCTGCTTTGATGCAGCGCCAAAAATAGCACAAGCAAATTGCCAGATGTTGATAAATGAGTCTTAACTTCCACTCAGAAGGAAGAAAGGAACTTTTCAGCTTTATACCTTCATCTGCTGCACATGGAGCTAGTTTTATTAACAGCATGCATGTGAAGTTTCCTTGACAGCAGTCCTCAGTGAAGGAAGGCGCTTGTTGCTGCTGTGGCCTAAAGCTCTCGGACTTCTCTGACCTTGAGAAAGGTCACAGGAAAGGAGAAATGTGGTACTGCGTTATTACAGCTTCCTGAACTCCTCTTTCTACTTTTCTTGCTATTTCCATGCCACTGGAGATATTTGCCTTTCCAAGACAGGGTAGAAGCTGCTACTCAGCATGCTAAATGGAACCTTGCACTGTCCTTGAATCATTACTTATCATACCTGTCCAATATACACAGGTTCTGGCGAAATCTGTTCCTCAGTTACAAAAAGAGGTTCCCACAGCCAGCCACGTTTCACTCTTCGAACTGGTGTGAAAGACTGAGCTGTGTTTTGAGCGCTGGAGTTCCGTGTGCTGGGAGAGCAAGGCCAAAGTTGAACCAGCATCACCATGAGGCGTAGCAATACCAAGGAATTCATGCTGAACCGTTCTTTCAATCAGTCTTAATCTGTGGAAGAGGGGAAAAAAAAAGTCTTTGACAAAGCATCACTTTTGTCTTTCTACTTCTATATACTGATTCTGTGCTAATATAAGAGCTGATTTGCAGGGTTAAAACCTCCTCCTCTCCCCAAAAGTAAAAAGCTGAAATGAAGTCTGTTTCTTATTAAAATTTTAATAAGAGAGTTTTAAAAGACCTTTCAGAGTCTCTAACATGAAAGTCAAGTACTTAACTTTTCTTTATGAATATCCTACACAGGGACTTATTATGCAAAAAAAAAAAAAAAGGAAAACAATCCTTCAATTAATTCATCTTTCAAATTAAGGTGGATAATTGTATTGTCTAGCCCAGGAATAATTTGATTGGAATAATTGTATGTTTCTGCTTAGATAGGACTCATTTTGAGCTGCAGTCATAAAACTGCCTGAAGGGTGAATATCTAGCCTCAGTAGCCCTGATGTCTGACAGCTGAAACAGAGTGATGCAGATTTTTTTTAACCTCTTCTTACCCACTTTCCCAGCTCAGCAAAATGCCTACAAAAATGTTAAACATGATAGGGTACCATGAAGAAGCAGCAAAAATTTACAACTTTCTCCTTCCCAGCCAAACAGCAACATGGACTAGGCAGATGTGTTAAATGGATTCTTTGCCTGTGCCTTTGGCATGGATGATGCACCAAAAGTTCCCAAAGCCCTGAGCTGGAGGACCATGACTGCAACAATGATCACCTCCCAGTCAATTCTGAAATTGTGCAGGAGCTGCTGCTCAAGCTGGATCCCTAAAAATTTATAGGGCCTTATGGGGTTGATCTGAGAATTCTCAAAAAGCTGCTGATGTCATTGCAAAACATCTCTCAATGCTTTTTGAATGATCTTGGGAATCCAGAGAGATCCCAGCTGACTGGAAGCTGGTGAATGTTGTCCCATTTTTCAAGAACAGCATGAATGAGAACCCCAGAACCAACAGGATTGTCAATTTCATTTTGGTGCCTCCTCAAGTTAAAGAGTATAATATTGAGGAGATATTGAAAAATACCTGGAGGACAACACAGTAATTGGTCACAACCAGCATGGCTTTATGAGAGGAAAGTACTTCTTATGAAATCTGGTTTCCTTTTATAACATGGTATCTCACCTAATTGATCTATGGAAGCCTGTTGATGTAATCTTTCTGGATTTCAATACTTTCTCTCACAGGATCCTACTAGACACATTTTCAGCACACAGCTGCATAAACACAGCATGGGTTGGTGTTGGCTGAGTAACTTGCTCACAGGTTGAGCACAACGTTACAGTGAATGGGGTGATGTCAAACTGGACACCTCTCACTAGCGGTATTTCACAGGCCTCCATGCTCAGCCCTGTATTCTTCAACATCTTAATGACTTTCATGCAGAACTGGAAGGAATATTCAGCAAGTAGGCAAATGATAGAAAACTGGGAGAAGCCTTTCAAGGCAGGGAGATCTTGCAGAGAAAACTCAAAAAATTAGGGGGCTAGGCAATCACCAATTGTATGAGCTTCAAAAAGGGAAAGTGATGGATTCTCCACCTGGGATGAGGCAACCCTGGATGTATGTACAGACTGAGATGCTGGAAAGCAGTGCCACAGAAAGGGACCTGGGGGTCCTGGTCAATGGCAAGTTGAGCCTGAGTCAGCAGTGCCCTGGCAGCCAGGAGGACAAAACCCTGTCCTGGGGAGCATCAGGTACAGCAAGGGAGGGAAATGTCGCGCTCTGCTCTGCACTGGGGCAGCCTCACATTGAATATTGTGTGCAGTTTTGGGTGCCACAATATAGGAAAGACATTAAACTATTTGAGAGTGTCTGAAAAAGAGCCATGAGGATGGTGAAGGGCCTTGAGAGCAAGGTCTGTGTGGAGAGAAGGAGGTCAGTTGATCTGTTCAGCCTGGAGAAGAAGAGACTAAGTGTAGATCTCGCAGTTAAAAGTTCCTTGTGAGGGGAAGAGGAGGAGCAGGCACTGATCTTTTCACTGTGGTGACCAGTGACAGGATCCAAAGGAATGGTCTGAAATTCTGTCAGGGGAAGCTTAGGCTGGATATGAAGAAAAGGCTTTTCACCCAGGGAGTGTTTGGAGACTGGAGCAGGCTACCCAGGGAAGTGGTCACAACACCAAACCCATAGACAAGGTTCAAGAAGAATTTGGACAATTATCTAGGATACATGGTGTTACTCTCAGGGATGGTCCTGTTCAGGGCTAAAAGTTGGACTCAGTGATTCTTGTGGGCCCCTTCCAACCCAACATATTCTGTGATTCTGTGATTAGAATTTGTCATAACAGATTTTACCACCTCTAAGATTATTTTCTCCAGCTAAACTGACAAAGGGCAAATGCATCTTAAAAGCTGTAGGTTTCTGAAGCTAGTTTCATTTCCACTATGTGTACTTTCAGAAAATTAAGGCTCTTCACAAACTGTAAGCTATTACTGGCTTTTCAGTGATTTTTGGCACAATGAAGGAAATTTTAAATATAATTCCATGCTCAATTAAGAATAGCCATCTTCTGCGAGGCAAAAAGAAAAATTTTGAAAATACCTACCCATTTGGCAATGGCATTAGCCACTCTTTTCAAGGCTTTAGCATTGAAGAATAACATTTTCTATGAAGGAGAAATCTGGTTTATGAGTTTCTGACACACTGGTCAGTTTGAAAAACACACTGAAGAAAAAATATTTCGATTAATTTATCTTAGACCTAAAAAATACATAAGTTTTTAAAGTATTAATATTTTAAATACTCATCCTTATCTGTAGCCGCATTTCTATTCATAGAGAAAAGCAAGGCACAACGTCCCGATGATATTTCTGGGATTCACATTCTCTGAACCACAGAGAAATAAAAAGCAATTCTTATCTCATTTACTGCTCCTGTGTTTTGGAACAAGTGGAATGCATTGTGGAAGATTGTTTACCTGAAGGGAATTGGTAATTGGATTCTGGTATGAGTGTTTTGATTCACTGACCAATTGAATCCATGTGTGTGTTGGACTGTCAGCTGAAAGTCATGAGATTCTGTGCAGTTGAGTGGAGTTGTGTTGAGTTGGGTGCTTGGCAGATTCAGTTTAGATGTACTGTAATATAGAATAGAATAATACAGTATAACTAAGTAATTAATTAGTCTTCTGATATCCATGGAGTCAGATGCATCATTTCTCCCCTTCGCTGGAGGCCGCCAAGCTTTTACTATACTTATCCAAAGAGAAATGCCATAATTGCTTAAATAGACAGACAGGTAATATAGAAAACTATCTATTTCCTTCCAGCATCTTTATATGATGTAGGACAACAGTTTGTTAAAAAGTAATCTGTAGAGATGGAATGAGAGGAGTTCTAACAGGAAAGTCAAATAGAACAACCAAGACTAAAGTGTACATCCTAATTTTTTCACATTTTGTGTTTTTTGACTGTAAAGCTGTAACAGAGCAAGACAAGATTTGAATAGAAGGAATGTGACTTGGGTATCCTCTTTTTCCAGTTTCCTGTAGAAAACTTCTTATTTTCCCATGGCTGCAAGAATAATATTTGTGACATTGAAGAAAAGTCCAACAAAGTTCAGCATGGCTCTGAAATAAGTCTTGAATGAGGTTAAGAAGGCCTAAAGACCTTGGAGAGTCTCTATGCTATGGGTGTACTTAATTCTAAGCAGTAATCTGCACACAAAGTAACCTTGAAAAGGAGCATTCATTTAATTATAACGCATTGCGAAGGACAGAGTACTCAAAGAACAAAAGCTGAACAGTCAAGGAGACCTTTCTGAGGAATCACAGAAAAATGCATTTCAATCACTGTTTATATCTGAAGAGAGGTGTTCAGTCTCAGCAATAGCAAATTTTTCTGGCTAGGCTTTTTTTGTTGTTGTTTTGTATGCTTGTTCTAGGAGTTTTCACATTATTCAACAAAATATCTCAGGCTTGTGGGGCAGTTTTTCATGCAGAGTGAATGTGAAAGAAACAGTCCTTATCAAACTTGTCTGAAGACACTGTGTATTGAAAACAACATAGTGAGGGTGCAGAAAGGCAATGCTGGTCTGCTGTTGGCCACCTTCTTGCAATGTACTCAGCAGTTACATATGAACAGCATAAAGCATGCAATGGATGTTTTGGAGCATTTTCGTGTCTCCTTTTTACAAATTTATGTTAATATCCTGTGTTATGTGGACTTAAGCATCATGTCTCCGACAAATTGAAACAAGTAAATATTTTTTAGATTCTGATATACTAGTGTAAGAAGGCTAACCTGAAAATACAGATGGTAGGCAAATTCTTCTAAAAACAAAGCTATTTAATGGAATTGAGATCTATATTAATCTCTGTTTTTCTCTCCTCTGCTATAGCAAACATTCTGAATTTGCCTTTACTTTCAGGACCTTTCAAAGCCTATTTGCTTCTAACATCTTCCTACTCATTTGGCACTGAGACACTGCCTCCAGCTTCTGGCCAGCATGTGTTGCCATTTTTTATAGTCCAGTTATAGTCCTTGTGAAACAATCACATTCTTTCTCTTCCACTGGTTGTAGCTCAGTCTCAGAAGTCAGTCTCATAAAATATCCAGAAAGTAGTTTCTTATTCCCTCATCATTTTCTAGTCTTTTCTTTAAAAATCCAAACTTCAGTATTACCTACTTAAAAGAAAAACAAATATAAAAGGGCTCACGCTGTTAAGATGATTCTGTGCTGAGACTGCTGCCTATCACTGTGTCTAGTATTTCCTCATTATTCCCTTGTACTTTCCTGTCTTTCCCTAACGGTCAGTTGTCTCTTGTTTTACACTCATTTGCCATGGTCTTTGTAAATGAAATGACCTTGTACTCTGTGTTATAATTATAGTATGCAGCAGAAGAGAGGATTAGTAAAAGCACTGAGCTTTTGGGCACTGCAGTAATATGTCCTAATAGATAATTTTTTAGTAGAATAGTTTCTCATTGAAAAAAAAAAAAGGACAAATATATTTTCAGAGATGAGCAAATGATCTGTCACTAAAAATTTCTCAAGA